GGACCTATCTCGGCTAGGTCAGTGAAGACTTTAGCAGAGCAATCGCTAACCTCCATTAATGGGAACAGAATTCGCGGAAGAATATATTAATAAACTGAAGAAATTTGCATAAACGTTGTTGCCTTTTATGTCTGACAACAACATAGCATTACACGTTATAATTTTGTTTGTTTGGAAGTATCTCAACCTAAAATACAGTTCATTTTCACATAAATATGATACAATAATAAAGTTTTATGGCAATTGCCTTTGTTCACTATCTTGCCACACATGTATTAAGCAATTCTAGGTGTATAACTAGAAAGCGATGGATTTTACAAACTGGTAATAAAAAATTTCAGGTCTTCCACATATAACTAAAAATTTATCAACAAGTTTTTAAATTTTAAAAATCAGTCTTAAGAAGAAATACGATTCGAATATTTATAACACCTAAGTACTTAATTCGATAAAATATTTTTGGTCCATTTTTTCTAAAAATCAATATGAAAAAATAAAAATAAAATAAATGTTATAATAATACTTGATTGCTTTAACTTTTATTTTCTTAATAATTATTTCTTAACAATTGTACTGAAAATGTACTTATAAGTGAGTACTAATGGACTAAGTAAAAACGACTTCGGTGAAACTCAAATGATGGACAAATCATAGGAAACATTGCCTTTTGTACGTTTCTACCCTATTTATCACGAAGCAGGTAAAAATGTACAGGTAGATTTGGAATCGGCTTATTGTTCAAACTAAATATGACAATGCTTATAGAAAAACAACAAAATACCGTTTAGTTTACTAATAAAAGAAGACTCGGAAGACCAAGGGAAGATATTTGCTGCATTAAAAGATTAGACCGTCTATGCTTTGGTGACGATATGTTGATTGCAGACCATGGACGTATAAACATAGATGTGTTTATACGTCCATGTTGCAGACAATCGAAAAGAAGCCCACGAGTTGCTAAGAGTACTAAATTCTGCTGCAAATGAGGTAGGTTTAAAAATACCTAACCTAAGCTAACCTTACAAAATCCAGTAAGACAAACAATAATAAGACAAACTTAATGCCAGCAGTCTATATACATCGTAATATCTTAGGCCACGATGTAATATGCCATAATCCAGGAATCACCTGAATATGTGGCGAGAATTAATGATAAACACGTAGTAAGTATCGTTCTAGATTTCATGCATATAGAAATAGTGAGCCACTCAGACAGTGAACTGATGACTTCAATGTTGCAATAAACTGGATTGACACATCACCAGATAGAAAACACTGAAAACTACTGAGAAATGTGTGTTTTTCATCCATCACCATCACTTACAAACCATTAGAACACTGGTAGAAAAAACCACAGAATATAATGTGCCTCTACATGACATTTATTGACTTTCACAATGCTTTCGATAGTATTGAAACTTGGTCCTTTTTGTCAGTCCTGAGGGATGCTCGAATAGACTCACGGTACATTACACTTATTAAAAACAAGGTCTTGGTAAAGGTATTAGACAAGGTGATACTATTTCACCAAAGAACATAAAGATAGCCAAACGGGAGATGTAGGCCCAGAGATAACCAAATCGGCATCAGAGTAAATGGAATCTTAGTTAACAACATCAGATATGCAGATGATACAGTAATAATAGCCGATAGTTTATAAGACCTGGAAAAACTCATAAGTAAAATAGTAATATGTAGTAGAGAATACGGACTCTCGCTCAATATCAAAAAGACGAAGTTTATGAAAATTTGTAAAAACAACCATAATACTAACGAAATCTTGATAGTAGAGGGCCAGCAGATCGAAAGAGTAAAAAAAGTACACTTACCTAAGAACACTTACAACAGAAAATAATGACTACACTGCACTACACTGAAATCAAAGTTAGAGTCGAACAAACATGTTCTAATTTTAAGAAAGTGAAAAAGGTCCTATGTGGCAAAGATTTAACATTAGTACTCTTAAAGTACGCCTAACAAAATGTCACGTATACAGTGAACTATATTATGGAGTGGAAGAAGAAGAAAGACTGTGTTCAATTACAAATAATCAAATTAATGTAATTTCACAATAGTTTATTTTTACCTTTATTAAATAGATATTTTAAAATTAAATGATGTCAAACCTATCATAATATGCTGAGAGTTTAAATCAAGATACAGTATGGATGATGAATTCGTACTCAGAGACACTGATATGGGTTGTAGTCTGTTGATATTAGTATATTTGTCCCAGCTGTGAGAAATTTTGTCTATGTATACTTATTTTGAGCTACTAATACTTTGTTTTTTTCACGCTATTACAATTGACTGCATTATTTTTCCATTGTCACCGATGATGTAGACCAACAGTCATTAATAACAGTCAAATTTTTAAAAAAAATTAGTCCATAATTACAATTTTTTCATGCATACAGCTTTTTCATTCTAACCCTGAATTGCAGATTTGCTTTAGATATCAAAATGATTTATTAAAGTAAGAGACCAAAAAAATAATATTGATTTTGTAAAATTTTGATGTTGCAACGCTACGAATAAATGAACCTTGGACTTTTTTCCACGAGGAAACTAAGTTCCTGTAGCTGGCTGTATACCATATATCACAAAAATTTTTTGTTAAAATCCTTTATAAAAGGTATATAAAATGCCTCAAACGGGCTATCACAAATACATTGCAAAACGTTTTCGGATTAAACAATCCATCATCAGTGCAAACGGTTGTACATGCTAGTAGCCACCAAAATATATGGGTAAAAACCCTTTAAATGTTATAAATTTGAATTTGTTTTACATTATTAGTATTTCTAATTTGTGATGGTTAAGTTACCGTTGGATAGGTAACATGGCGGCGTATGACTCTACATGAGTAGTAGGACCATTTTACTCATGTAGAGTCATACGCCGCCATGTTACCTATCCAATGGTAACTTAACCATCACAAATTAGAAATACTAATAATGTAAAACAAATTCAAATTTATAACATTTAAAGGGATTTTACCCATATATTTTGGTGGCTACTAGCATGTACAACCGTTTGCACTGATGATGAATTGTTTAATCCGAAAACGTTTTGCAATGTGTTTGTGATAGCCCGTTTGAGGCATTTTTATATACCTTTTATAAAGGATTTTAACAAAATTTTTTTGAACTTTTTTGTGATTTTTCAAAAAGAATAACGTGAGTAGTCTCCCCCATCCGCCCGTTCTCTTACTACGGTAAAACATATCAAATATACAGCGACAGACGCAAGTGTAGAATAATAACAAAGATCCGTAATACTTATTAGTAACAAACGCCACGTAGATACGTCACTGAATGAATGCAGATGACTTGAGACCGAATCCGATAACTAGAGACGAAAATACCACATTTTTAGCATCCCAAAAATTGTCATCCGCTTGCGAAATATGTTGATGTTAAGAAAAGAAAGAAGGGGGTCTCGATGACGAATGGTTAAACGAAAATCTTCTCAAAAGAACTTTCCATCAGTACACTAGATTATAACAATTTTTTTTACAAATTAACCCCATTACTTTTGGTGAAGTATTGGCTGTATTAATACAAAAGCCAGAAGTTATATAGATATAACAATACCATCAAAGCAAAGGTTGAGTGACACTTTGTCATATCTTGTATCCGAACTTACTTTTGAAGGTTTAAAAGTTTGAAACAGAGTATTCCCCCAAAATAATCAGTCATTATTGCACAAGCTCGGTAACAGATGTGGTTAAACAATTTAATCGCAGATGTATCGCCCAGATCAACCTGGTCATAGTTATAGTTAACACATAAATATCTTTTGCAAATTTATTCGTGTTTTAAAACGGGATCCCGAAAATTCACTCACTATATGGCTGTATTTTTCCAAGAAAGCGATATGCCAACCCAAAAGTCCTCACTGTATAACAATAATTAGTCATAAGCAGTATACTAAAACTTTATTAATTAATATAGAGAAATCAAGTACTTTTATATTCAATATGTACAAAAATTATAAAAAACATAACAATATTTCATTTTTGGAAATCTCGTCTAAATATCAATTATACCAAAAATTTAAAATATCCACTAACATCTAAAGATAACTATTCTATTATACGTCACTTAGCAGTGTTTTTTAACGTTAACCAAACCAAATTGCCTTTGCTACCTCCAAAACAGTTCATTTTAAATTATTTTGTGTTTTTATCTGCAACATATCGTAAAAAATTCATAGAAAATACCAAAAATTAACTAATGAAATTAATATTTTTAAAGAGTTTAAAATGAAGGCTGATATATCAATAGCAAAGGTAGTTTGCCTGAAGAAGAAAAACCACTACTTGATGTCACACCAACGTGGCATCTTCTAACATCTATGGTAATGGATAATTTTGTCACGTTAAAAATTAAGTACAAATAAAAATAACAGTCTTTTCTGAATTTAAAAAGTACATCATATTTGAGTTATACACAGCTACATAAAAAACTATGCTGATTCTCGAGAAATTGACAATGCGAAAGAATAACTCCAAACACAGGACAATTGGATGTGACAAATACCACTCCATAAGTCTCGGGCCTGACATACGAAGTTGGAAGTCCAAGAAATGAACAGATAAGATATACATTTGGCCACGCTGCATAGTATAGCCACCCCCATTTATTATTTTAATAGGTCGGGTCAATGCTGTGATGTTATGAATGTTAGAGAACAAGGAGCAACTTTAGTGTTAATTCCTAGGCTAAAAAATTCCTAAATGTTCAAAAAACATCGTTATCTATCTCGAAACTTCGGTAATCTTTATCTTAAGTTCTTTAGAATTTTGTAGTTTACATATCGTCGCCGAAAAAATCATTTGGGCTTAAATCGTCAGAACAAGGTGGTCGCGAAGGTGTTTTTCAACATAGAGACATCCACAAATTTACATTGATACAATCTACTAGGAATCTGCGCTCTCGATAATCTCGATAAACAAAGAAGAAGAAGCCTTCAGTTGCCTGGGATGAAAGGCAGAGGAAGCGGCAGAGGGCAGTAGGAACCTCGCTTATTATATAAACGCTAAACAATCGGAATACTATGATGAATGATAAAGGCTCTTTTCTCAACAAATAATACCATTCTTAATCAAGGATATATTATTCTGAACTCAACTGCATAATTGCCACGAATGAAAATCAGACACTATTAACGAAGTGATGTAGGTTGTTGCCAAAATGTAAGATGTATGTCGTTTCATTTGAAAACATGATGTTTAATACTTTGTTAAATCTTATATGTTCAGATCTTCGCCTTCTGACCTGTGGTAATTGTAAACTTCCTGAAGGTTTTTGTGATGCATGTTTTACTTTTCATATCCTGGTTTCCACATTGTCCAAGGCTGGCCTGTTTTATTTGACCGTTATGTGCTTATACACATTGGAAATTTAACATTATATATATTTGGAATATTCCTAGATTTAAAATAAAACAAATTTCCTAGCAATTCTAGTTAAAAAATTTGGCAGTGAACAAAAATTGATTTTTGAAATTATGGACATTACTTTTTTTTGGAAAACAATTATTTATATTAATTTTTTAGATAAAACATTTCATAAAACATATGTGGAAGAGCTGAACGTCGAGATAAAGTCTTAATATGAGCAAAATTAACACTGGGAATTGTTTTGTAATATAAAAACCTACGGCACTGGCTCTTCCTTGGGAAGGCCGTTTGTTTTCTTATAGTCAATATTGGTTATTGGGCTTCGAGACCTGCTGGAACTCCTGGAGCTGTTGCTGCTGGATGTCGACGAACTGCTACAAGAATCACTGGAATCAGTTTCTGAGTCCTCCGAGTCAGACTCTATGTTTACTTTGTTTCTTAGAAGATCATTCTCTCGCCTTAAACGTTCGTTTTCCATGGTGAGTCTTTCTATTTCTTGTTTAAGATCAGGTCTAGAATCTTCCGAATCGTCTTCTTCTTTCTGTTGACTTTTTGTTAACTAAAAATTATTAAAAAAATAAATTAATGTATTAAAGATATTACTCATATATAAATCAGATGTTATATATGGAAAAAAAACTGTAGCAAAAATATAAACAATAAGTAATCCATTCAGATCATTATTAGAAAATCATAATAAATTTTTCAGATTTTTTTAGAAAATATCAAAAATGTTGAAGTTTTCATCTTACACTTATTTCAGTGATACAAGGGGGCTCTGCAACTTTCAATTGTTTTTACTATGTAATTTCTATTAATTAATGTCGAAAGTGTTTATTATTATCGCGATTGTGTCAATTATTGTCAATTTTGTGTAAGTAAAGTAGAGTGCAACGTGTCTTTACTCGTTTTAAAGACAGGAGTTTACACCCGATGTCCTCCGAGAAGAACTACTCATCGAGATGACCTTTTATATCATTCAACTGTTATAGAGGTTAGAAACAGTCTTGAACATCACAGAAACGTAAATTTTTAGTGAGCGAACTGTTAGAAGACCATTAAATAAGGCTACTCTGAATACTCGAACATCCGCTACAGGACCCGAACTTTCCAGGGAAAATCGTGTAGTCAGATTATATTTCGCTAGGGAGTCCAGATTTTATCTAAGCTCCCTAAACAGTCGCGGAAAGTCTGGAAAGAGATGTGAACGATATGCCGAGTGTCCTTTTAGCCCTAGAGTGTGTTTTTAAGGGGGTTCAGTTATGGTGTGGGCTGGTATATCTTCGGAGGCACGAATAGAATGCAGGGATCAGGTCCCTGCATTGTCAGAGAATATTTAAATGAAGTTAACATTACCCATATGGCATGGCCAGCGCATAGTCCCGATTTAAATTCCATGTTTGTGACAGGCTTTGTCAGAATTATTCGAAGCCAGGTACCAATTCTCTTACATTTGACGAACTCAAAAATTCTATATATATTTATATTATTCTTCCTATTTATAATAAGGATAGTTAAACTTAAATTGTTGAATAATTTAATAAAAATATTAGATTATTGTGGTCAGAGTTATATACTTTTGAAACTTTTCCCAAAACTTTTGGACCATATGTTATGCATGCTCACACTATCCTCTATTCCAGGCCATATAGTGACGTGCTTCCCGCTAAAATATCTAGAGCATCTTTTTTGCTCCTGCTTTCGAAGCGCTCTGCCTTTTTTGTTGCATCTGCAGCCATTCTATCCGCTCTAGTAATGCAACTGTTATCTTGCTGCGAGTAGATAATTATGATAACGTGACACCATTTGTGTACTTATTCCATTTTCTATGTGAGTTCTCACTCACTTACTCACCAAGCTCACTCACCTCACTCACCTCAATCACTCACCTCACAACTCATAAATGTCTATAACTCCATTAATTTAGCTCCGATCACTTTGAAATGTTACCTGAATACTCTTGAAGAGTTATACTATCGAATAAAAGATTTAAAAAATGCAAAGTAAACCATATTCCCCTCCCTTACACAAATTAATTTTTTAATGATACATTAATAAAAATGAACTTCACAGCAATATAATTTTATGTTATTACTGCTATTAGATTTAATTTATAGAATTGAATTAAAAAATATTATTTATTTCGAATGTATCTTTTTTTTTTCAATTTTCGGATAATTCACAAATATTAAAAATCTCGAAGAAGAAAATACTGATACTGCTATTAGCTTTGATAAAATTGGTTTAGAATTATATGATGAAAATTTGGGAAGTAATTTTCAACTTCAATATGAAGATTTTGGTAAAGTAAAAACAGATAAGCTTAAATGTGAAAACTATAGAGGGATATCAGTCACTAGTATATTCAGCCGTTTGATCGCATTGAGAAGGAATACAAAGACCAAGAAGAAGAAAAACAATCCGGTTTTCGAACAGGAAGAAGCTGTACTGATAACATCTTCTGCCTCAAAAAAACTAATAGAAAAAAAAATAAGCACAAATCAAGAAACCCACCTCATGTTTATTGACTTGCAGAAGGCGTACGATACAGTTCCTGTAAACAAACTCGGAATGTGTTACGACAGACGAATATTAGTGCCACCTTAGTAAAAGCCTTAACAAATTTGTATGAATGGTCAACATCACAAATAAAAACTAGAAACAGACTATCTCAAAGCTTCCTGGTTAATAAAGGTCTACGTAAGGTGTGTTGTATATCACCGACCTTGTTTAAAATGTATGTTGCAAAAGCATTGAAAGAGTGGAAACGAAAATACAGAGGTATGGGCGTACTTAGACCTTGGAGAGATTTGCTTGTATACATTGCAGTTTGCTGATGACCAGGTTGTTAGAGCAAACGATAAAGATGATCTGGAGTACATGGCAAGGAAACTACAAGAAGAATATAGAAAGTGGAGACTAGAAATTAATACAGTTCCTTCTTTAGGTGGTTTCGTTTTTTTTCTTTTGTGCATTCTCTTTTCTTCTCTTCTCTTTGTCTGGTAATTCTCTACAGTTGTTCTAGTTCGTCGGATAATCATGTTTTTGTAGACTTCATTTTTTTTTCTTTTGTTGTACTCTTGCATTCATCGTCAAACCAATGATTTTACGGGCACAAATTTCTGCTCCTATTCTATGTTTCGCTGCTGCTTCAATATCTTCCTTTATTCTGGTCCAGTAGGAATCTAATCTGTCTGGCCTTCTTTATTTACATTTTGATTCCTTAGCCTGTTGGTGTTGTTGTCCGAGTAACTTTTTGCAATTACCGCATCTATCAGCTTTTGCATATTCCATTTTTTTGTATTCATTTTATTTTCTTTACTAGAGTTTGAAAATCCATCCAATGTTGAGATCACTAGGCAATGATCTGAGTCTATGTTTGTACCTCTATAACTTATGCAGTTTATTACGTCTGTTCCATGCCTTGAATCTATCAAGATGTGATCATGATCAATCTGACTCGATCAATCTATGTTAATATTCTCTCGACTAACTTTATAATATTAATTCCTTGAATCTATTAAGATGTGATCACGATCAATCTGATTCGATCTAATCTATGTTAATATCTCTCGCTAATTTTATAATATTAACTATAAGACGCAGAAAGAGCGTGAATTCCATTTCAACTGCCATGCAGTGTGTTTTACGACAAACAAAAGTCCTTGGTCAAATATTAATGATACATAGACTTTTAATTACCTTTAAAAGTTTCATATGTCTACTAGATCATGATGTTCATGCATGAATGAATCCTACTGTAATTTGACAATTATTTAACAATGACTTTAATAAGCCAGGAATGACAAGGTATAAATAAAGCGCAGCACTAATGATTAAAACATACTTACTGTATAATACTGTAGTCATCTTATCAAATATAATAAATAATAGGTACTTATTGTTTACCACGCTAGTTATTTCACATTTATACCTGTTTTTTAGGTTGAATACTTAAGTTCTATTTTTTCATAATCGATCAAAAAAGCCTCCGTTAACCGGAAGGAGGCCGTTTCAGATAACAAGAATTTCGGTTAAAAAAACATTGTTTTTTGTATTCTTCTTGTATCAAATTACATAGTATTCTTGGTCAAAGTTCGTATTAAAAAAAGTAAATACAGAATAAAATAAAGGAAAATGAACAATTTTAACATGTTTTTTAAAGAAATCTTCTGTTTTCTTTTGCGTTTTCCTTTGACAAAGATGTTTTGCCTCATTCTATTGTTCGACAAAACGTAAAGCAATTTCAAAAGGACAAAACTTTATGCAATGACAACAAAAATTAAGAACCTAGTCGTGTTCCTAATTAAATCTACTATATAGAATCTTACCTCTTCTTCTTCTTCGCGTGCCATATCAGAATTATCCGACGTTGGCGATCACCAATACGAAGGCTTCTCGATCTTCTGCAATATGGAATAATTGTCCCGCATTTGATATGAGTCCATTCACGAATGTTCCTCATCAAAGAAACGTTTCCTTCCTACACCTCTAAGGCCCCCTATTTTGCCTTTAAGGATTAGTTGTAATATTTTATATAGACTTCCCCTTACTATATGTCCCAGATAAGATATTTTTCAATGTTTAACAGTCTTTGTTGACGCTCTTTTGTGACAGATTTTGTCTGTCATGTTCATAGACAAATATGACAGCATTTGTCTATGAACCCACATTTCCAATGCTTCAATTTTGTTCAAGATCGATACTTTTAGCATCCACACTTCTGCACTATATAAAAGTATGGACCAAACATAGCACTTAACCATTCTTTGTCTTAGTTCTAAACTGAGATGATTATTGCAAAGAAATGATTTTATTTTCATAAAAGTAGTTTTAGTCATTGCTATTCTACATTTTATTTATATATCTGGATCTAGTTGGTCCGTTATCACAGTTCCCAAATATGTCATTTTATGAACTTTCTCAACTTGGACTCCGTTTAATTGAAGCTTTGCATCGGATATGGGTCACGACTAAACACTAAAAATTTGGTTTTGTTTGAGTTAATTTTAATGCTCATTTCCTCTCTTACTTCATGAATACGATCATGCAGAATTTGGAGACCTTAAATATTATCTGACAGAATTACTGTATCGTCTGCATATCTAATCACATTAAGTAGTTCCCGTAGATTTTTTATTCATATGGTTGTCTCTCAAGTGCCTTTTTAAATATATGGTCCGTAACAGTTTAACCCCAGTACAAATTTTTAATGAAACAAATATCCTTGTCATCTATTCCGATATATTTCAGTATTTGCATTAATTTTACACGCTAAACTTTATCGAATGTGTTTTCGAAGTCCACGAAACATGAAAATACATCTTTTCTTTGGCCACGGCATTTTTGTAATAGGATGTTAAGCGCAAAAAGTGCCTCCCTGGTTCCATTAGCATTTCTAAAACTAAATTGGATATCTTCGAGATCTTTTCTTCGCATTTGCGTATAATTCTGTTGTGATGTATTCTTAGGAAAATTTTAAGAGTGTGGTTCATTAGGCTAATTAATCGATATTCTGCATTTTCTCACATTGTGTCTTTTAGGTATTGCGACAAAGATGGATTTGAGCCAATCTGTGGGAATCACTCAGGTGTTATATATTGAATTAAACAGTCTTACTACTACTTTTTATGTTTATCATCCTCTATTAGTTTCAGCACCCACTTGGTGTATCATCTGGACCACAAGCTTTTCTAATTTTAGCATTATTTTATAGCGTGCTACTAGCATTTCATAATTTTCTGGGCCGTCAGTACAGTTTTGGTAGAATTCAGGACAATATTATTCCTGTTTATCTTCAAACAACTTGATATTTTCAGCTGCCATTTATTTTCTTATTTTGTGCTCATTGACAATAATTTTTGTTATTATTGATAACGAGTACAGAGGGAAACTAGTTTTTTAAACATTTGTTACTCATTTCTTTTAGTTTTTTGTGCACATTAAATAGGTCGTGTTTAGATATTACATCCTCCATTTCGTCGCACCTTTTTCTGATCCACTTTTCTTTGGCTAATTTGATCTCCTTTTTTTTTCGTCTCTGCAGGTGGTCTATATTCTTTTCATTAGATTTTAACAGTGACGTTGTTCCATTAATTTCAACATTTGTGTCTGTCATTCATTTATTTTTCTTGATTAAGTTTTTTCCTAATGCTTGACCTCTAAGGCATTGAAAATCTCGTCGGCGGTCTCGTTCTGCCTGTTGTGTCTTTATCTTCGTCGTCTGATATGCTCAGGTTGTTTGGATGAAGAACCATATCAATATATCTTTCTTGGTTAATTTCGAGACATCCTGGCAAATTTTTTATTAAATGGTTCAATTTCTTCTCTGTTTCTTCAACATTTTCTTAGTCTGAATCGTCAATTCAGAATCCCATCAAAAAGTTTGTTCCATCATTTTTCCAAAGTTGAGTTTTGATCTTGGCCCACGACTCAGCACATCAATAAACAACATGTTTCATTGTTAAAGATTTCAGAATTGCAGGAACACTTTTGGATTGATTCGTCTCCTGTAATAACAGATGCCTTAAGAATTTTCCTCTATAATGTCTCTATTCCTCCATGGTCTAACGGCTGAATTAAGCTTGTGAAATTCGGTAGCAAAAATCTGACAATTATGTCACCATTTTGTAGATTTTGAAGGTAAGGTGGCTCATTGTCAACAAGCAACAATGCTTTGATGGGAAGTTTTTTGATTATAAAAAGGATTTTACACTTGGGACGAATTCATTTTGGAACCATTCTGAAAATAAAGTGGTCGAAATCCATGAGCTTTTTTGACTGCTGTTAAAAAGCTGGAAGATATAAAAATTTTTACCGTCAAGCTGATACAAATTTTATTAAACATGACATGCAAAATCGACGACCGCTTCAAGCGTTGTTTCTAAGACAATAGTTCATTCTACACAAAAAATGTTTATAATAAACATTTTCGTTTAAAATTATCTCAGCTACATTTTTTATTTAAAACATTTTTTTCGTATGGTGTACAGGTTCTTGGTAAATTTATTTTTTTGCGTTTTTAACCCCCTACGAGGGGTGTTTTTAGGGGGAAGCCCGGGGGTAAATGTGGTAAACTTTTTGCATCTTTTTTGGGTCACAAAATTAATATTCTCTGGAAAATTCAGCTTGTTCGTATGATTTTTAGGAGTCAACTCTCTGACGACAGGACTTTTAGAACAAAGCTTTAATCTGACTATTAATTAAAAAAGTAATTTGTTCCTATTTATTATTTGGTAATAAAATGTTTCTAGAATAAACTTTTGAAATAATTAAATTACAATTATGTGAGTTTAATGGTTGTATTTTTTAAATGAATTAATTTAAAGAAAATTGAAGAAATATAAGAGTTAAAAAATAAAGGGAATAAAGTTATGCAAGAATTACCACATGCAGTGATTCAGGAGGGTTGAAAATAGTCTATGTAAACCACATGTGGTCATTATAGACTAAAGATAATCTGAAAGTAAGATATACTAGAAAATGCTTACTTTAACATTACAGAAAAAAACAAAAAATGAGAATAGATAAACTGTTTATTTCATAAAAATCAATGAAACCTTTTAGGAATTAATTAAAATAAAATGCAACGTTATGAGAACAAAATATTTAATAGAGATGTAAAAACACTTTTTCATTGTCTCATGTTGTCATATTTACCCCCAAATGACAAAAGGATAAATTAAATATGCTAATTTTTATAGTTTAAATTGTTTGATAAATTTAATTTCATAATTTATTCGAAATGAAGAAATCTTTTGTAACAATTTGAGATATTCTACTTAATAAATTATAAAAAGAAACCTACACAAAGAGACACAAAAATTTAAGGCATATTAACTCTAATGTTAATAATAGCTTGTAGATGTAATGTAATACGTAGATCAACAGTATATTATTGTTAAATATATGGTAACGCATATTATATTCTCAGGTTTAGTAAATAAATGATAAAATTTATGAATAACTTACTTGTTCCAGTTTATTTTCAAGTGCAAGATATTCGGCTATTAGGTCAGACTTTGACATGCCTTGAAGTCTTTCGGCTTGTAGACTTTCGTATTGGTCATCAAAATCTTTAATTAAAAATTGCTGTTCATCATCTGGTGAGGAATAAAATTCTCCCTCAGAATCTACACTAAAACTAGAATCCCTTGTTCTTAACGTATTTGGAGACATTAAATTTTTAACCAAATCGTCCACTATAGCATGATCTTCAAGTAAAAACTGATTGCTGTTATGTGGAGCCTCCGGTTTAACCAATTTGTTGGATTTTCTTGGATTTTTTAAATATGGATGTCTTCGTTTGGATTTCCCGCGTCGCGTTTTCCGTTTTTTCGCCGGAAGTTCACCTTCGATTGTTTTCGTCGTCGAATCGGATGCGCACGCAGTGCTCTGTTCATTCGGATGATCGACGTCATCTTGAAAAAGCATACCACTTTTTGCTTCTAATTCATTTTCCACCAAATTTGGATGTAGCTCGCTCATTTTTACAAATATGTTGCACGATTTTTCACAAATTTTCACTTTACGTAGACACTACGGCGTGTTGTCTGGAAACACTCTCGGTAGTAATCGAAAACGAAATGCACTCAACCTGGACAAAATCGCCATTTTCAATTCAATGCAGTAGTGTTTATTGTTTTCCTACAGGGGCGCTGCAATCGAACCCCTCTTTAGGTATTGGTAGGGGTTCGGAACCCCACCGAAATAAGTCGAAAAGATTTCTTCACAAAAAATGATTATGTATTTATTTTTGATTTGCAATGCATTTCGCTTAAAACATCTAAAATTATTTTCTTATAAATAGGTTTAGGCTTTATAAAAAATAGAACGAGCCTCCCTTCAATTTTTTAGCACGTTCTAAACTGTTAAATCTCAAAAGTTTCATATTATATAATATTTCAATAACAGAAAACAATGCATATACAGAGAACAGAGGCGTAGTCAGCTCTTTATTAACGACCAGATTTAACGAATTTCTGATACTAGAGCCACTAGAGCTTGGAAAATATGCACTAGAAAAATCTTAAAATATGCATATGTCACATATATAACTTATATGCACGTCCTTGTATTCCCAAATAACCTTATTTCGTTCCGTATTCTTATCATAGATGTAAATTTTTACTTAAATCTATCAAAAACACACAAAGAAGGAGATATAGGAACTCAACAGAGTGAAATACTATAAAGATGGACAGAATTCTTCAAAGAAAAGTTTGAAAAAAAGAAGATGCACCATATGATGGAATTATACTGGATCAAACGGATACCAGAGAAACAACCCCCTCCCTCTTCAGTAGCTGAAATACAAGAAGCAGTTACCAGACTGAAAAAAAAACAAGTCACCTGGATTAGACAATATTAGCGCTAGTGAACATATGGAATAATAAACAACTATGCCACAAGATTGGAACACAGGAGTAATTATCCCACTACATAAAAAGGGAGATCAGCTTCAATTTAAAAGCTACCGGCAATAACGCTACTGACTGTGGCATACAAAATACTGTCAAATATTCTGTATGACCGATTGAGACCATACGCGGAACAAATAGTTGGATGATATCAATGTGGTTTCCACAGTCAGAAGTCCAGAATAGATCAGATCTTCGTCTTGAGGCAAATCTTGGAAATGACTAGTGAATTTAATATAGACACACAGACATCACCTTTTCGTTGACTTTGAGAGTGCCTATGATAGCATCCATCGACAGGGAGATGCCCTATCCTGTATTCTATTCAACATCACAGAGAAAATACTTATGGAGTCAAAATTCAATACCAGAGGAACAATAATCTCAAAAAGTGTACAAATATTGGAATTTGCAGATGATGTTATCATAGCTAGAAGCGAAAGAGAGATGATATGATAGAAGCATTTAATGCGATAGAAAGAGCGGCACAAAACAGTGGCCTAAACATTAACGAAATAAAAACCAAATACAATGAAGGCCATACATGAATCCAAATAAATGAATCGACAAGCCAAAGAAACCTACAGAATCTGACAATACGAGACTATAACATCGAAGTGAAAAGTTTTACATATATAGGTTCACTAGTTACCGCAGATAACAATATCAGTGAAGAAGTTAATAGAAGAATGCATATTGCTAATAAAACATATAATGGATTGATTAAACATCTAAGATCTAACAACATCACAAGAGAAAAACCAAATGCAACATATACAAGACCCTGATAAAACCGGTCCTTGTATATGGATCAGAGACATGGATACTCAATTTGAACGAAAAATCTTTAGACACATATATAAGGGATAAAGGAAAATTACATATGGCGCAGAAGATATAACTTTGAACTATATACACCATACAATGAACCCGAGATCATAACATCCATAAAGATCGGAAGACTGCGCTGAATGGGCCATGTTGAACGGATATTGGAGACTGAAACGCCAAAACATATAATGAGGCAAAAATCAGTAGGGAGAAGGTCAAAGGGAAAGACCCAAACTTAGATACATGGAACAAGTGGAACAAGATCTGAAACACTTAAGATTACCAACTGGAAAAACAAAGCAAGGAACAGAACAGAATGGCGGAAAATCCTAGAACAAGCCAAGACCCAGAAAGGGTTGTCGAGCTACTGATGATGGCATATTTACTTACCAGCATTTAAGTTACGTATAGGCACATGAAAGATTTCAGGTGAAACAAATTTAAAAAAATAGTAAAAATTTCAATTTTCCATTAGGCATACATTTTTATTTGTAATTATTCAATTACATAGTCCATATTAAAATGTTTGGTGTGTTTTCGTTCAAATGAAAACAATACGTAACTTAATCCTAATTTTCTAACGTAATACTTGCTTTATTAATATAAATTTGTAGGATGAAAAACTTCTTTCAACATCACAAGAAGTAGGTAATCGAATTTGGAAATAATATGTAGTCTTAATTCAATTGCTCTCGAAAACAATAATTTTCAATGATATCATCATCATCATTGGCTCCACAACCCATGGTGGGTCTTGGTCTGCTCAAGGATAAGTCTCCATTTTCTCCTATTCTTCGCATTGGCTTTCCAGTTTCGTACTCCCAACATTCTCAAGTCTTCCTCCACCTGATCCTTAAATTGTGCTCTGGGTTTGCCTCTCCTTCTTACTCCATCTATTCTTTGATTATAAATAAGTTTTGGCGGCTCCATCTCATTCATTCTCTCTATGTGACCTAACCACCGCAGCTGGTGTATTTTGATGGACCTAATAATATCAGGTCGTACCACACCAACGACGTACTGAAAGAACAATAATTAACACCGGCTTAGAAGAAATACCAGACATAACCGACTATGAAATAAGAATGGCCCTAAATCAACTAAAAACAAATAAGTGTCGGGGAGAGGATAAAATTACAGTTGAAATGTTGAAAATTGGTGGCAGAAAAATCAAACAGGTATTAAATATTTTATTTAATAAAGTAATTGATGAAGGAATGATACCTCAAGAATGGTAGAACTCCGAAGTCATTCTACTATTCAGGAAAGGAGACAAAGCAAAAATCGAGAATTACCGACCTATTCTGCTATCTTTGCTATTACATCTGTATAAATTACTAACTAAAATCATAACCAACCGCCTAACACATAAGCTCGATTTCTATCAACCTATCGAGCAGGCTGGATTCAGAAAACATTTTAGTACCATATACCACTTGCACACCGTAAGAACACTAATAGAAAAATGCACCGAGTATAATGTTCCAATTCGTCGACTTCCATAAAGCATATGATTCCATCGAATTATGGGCAGTGCTTGAATCTCTAGAAAATGCACGTATAGATTCAAGATACACTGACATAATTAAGAACATATATAAAAATGCCACCATACAGATAAATCTGGACGAAAGCACAAAAACTAATGTCATAAGACTACAACGGGGAGTAAGACAAGGAGACACCATATCTCCCAAACTATTTATCCTTGCTCTATAAGACATTTTTAAGAAACTAGAATGGAACAACAATGGTATCAACGTCGACGGATCATACTTAAAGCCAGACAAATATAACAATACAAAATCATACCTTAGAAAATGTTGAACATTATGTATATCTAGGTCATGTCATCAAACTAGAAAAATCAAATCAAGATGCTGAAATTAAAAGAAGAAGAACAAAACTGGCATGGGGCGCTTTCGGCAAAACAGGTGGACACGGAGAATTCTAGAATGGAGACCAAGGACGACAACAAGAAGCATGGAAAGACCTCAAAAATATGGGTAGATGACATAAGAGCAGTGGAATAGATTGGCGCAAGATAGAGAAAGATGAAAGCAATTGGGAGAGACCTACATTCAGGAGTGGATGTAAAATGGTTGACAAAGAGAAGACGCTATAATCCGCCCTCCTGTACTCCTCCATAGATATGCCGAAGGATTTTAGGTTCAAAGCATCTTATTACGTTCTTCATCGCTTTTATCATCGTTCATATTTCCGACTAATTTCCAGCTAATAACGCACATACGGTTAGAAAAAAGAATACCAGCACGATGGAAGGAAAACATAATAATGCCATCCACAAAAAAGGGGACAAAACAAAATGCGAATTATAGAGGAATCTCACTTCTAAACACGGCATATAAAACCCTCTCAAACATCATTCTTAGTAGACTAATCCCTTATGCTGAAAATGTCCTAGGCGAATATCAAGCCGGGTTTAGGGCAAACAGATCAACAATAGATCAAACTATTCCCACTGAGACAACTTCTAGAAAAGGGATGGGAGTATAACACGACCCATACACAATCTTTTCATAGACTTTCGACAGGCATATGATAGCGTAGAAATAAGCCAAGTATGGAATGCCATGGCGGAGTTCTCAATACCAAAGAAACTCATTCGGATGGCCAAAGTCTGTATAGTGGGTGGAATATCTAAAGTACGTGTAAATAATAAACTGTCTGGCAGCTTTGAAATCAACAGTGGACTTAAACAGGTTGATGCGTTATCTCCACTACTTTTTAACCTTGTATTAGAGAAAGCCATAAGGTCGGCCAAAATAAAAACAGAATTGCTATCGGTTCAAGGTCCCAAGCTGTTACTCGCATATGCAGATGACATAGATCTCGTTGGAGACTCCATCCTATCCACGAAAGACATTTTCAACAAGGTGGAAAGAGCAACAAGTGAAGTAGGGCTAAAGATTAATGAAGAGAAGACGAAATATATGTGTATAAATAGAACGACACGAAGAGACAGAATAGGACAAAATGTGACGGTCAATACCTTCAATTTCGAAAGAATACAACGTTTTAAGTATCTGGGGGCTGTAATCATAGCTGACAACGATGTAACTGAAGAAATAAAAGACAGAATCCAATCTGGAAAACCGCTGTCTATTTGCACTGGATAAGCTCATAAAATCAAAAAATCTCACAAGAAGTTCAAAGATCAAAATCTATAAATCCATCGTCAGACCTGTAATAACATACGGATGCGAAACGTGGACCATGACCAAAGCAAACGAAGAAAAGCTTAGACGCTTTGAACGAAAAATACTTTGAAACATTTTCGGACCTCACCATGACATCACCACAAACCAGTATAAGATCAGAACCAATATCGAATTAAAAGCACTCTCCAACGACGCAGATATTGTCCAAGAAATTAAATCACAGCGACTAAGATGGGCAGGCCACGTTCACAGACTGCATAACGAAAGACTTGTAAAACTGGTATGGGAGGAGATTCCCAAGGCAAAAGACTCGGAGCTTCCAGAATGCGATGGTGAGATAACATCCAAGCAGATCTCCGGAAAATGAACATTCCATTTATAGGTTGATGGAAGACCGAACAAATTGGAAAATTAGGCTTATTGTTGTGGTAAAATTTCTTAATCCATAATAGGCTATATTTGCCAGATATATCCGTCTGTTAATTTCTGCATTTACTGCATTATTCTGATTAATTTGTGAGAAGATTAATTAATCTTCGAGTTGTTTTGCTTGTATATAATTTGATACTTTCATATACTTTGTCTTACTAGTGTTAACCTCTAGTCCCATTCTTTTGTTGCTGCTTCAAGCACCTTGAATGATTCGACCACGTCCGCTTTTCTTCTTGAAATAATGTCGATGTCATCGGCGTATTGCTAGTAATTGTACGCTGCGATTAATAATAGTTCCTATCGTTATTATTCCAGATTCTCTTATCGCTTTCTCTAGTGCAATATTGAATAGAAGGCATGATAGGCTGTCTCCTTGTGTAAGTCCTATCTGAGACTGGAACGTTTTGGAAACTCCGTTCTGCACTCTAACTTTACACTCGACTCTTGAGAGAGTTGCTTTCTACTCGACTAATTTTACTAAGTGTACTGGGATGCTGAATTCTATCATGGCCTTGTACAGTGCGTTTATTTCAACACTATCATAGGCACATCTAAAATCAACAAAGAGGTGATGAGTATCAATGACATACTCAGAGACACTTTTTTCCAGAGCTTGGAATAGGGATATTTCATCGGTCGTTGATCTCTCTTTACGAAACCCACTCTGATATATTTACCTATTATGTTTTCACAATATCCCAATTTAAGACAAAAGTAATGCATCAAGTAGGTTGTGTTGTGCCGATAGTAGGTTATGAACAAAATCGCATGACAACACCATCTGCCAAATATTGTTGTTTGTAAACAATTGACTGAACTCGGAAAAAGTGCAGTGTATGAGACATAGACCAGTTTTGGGTAGACCGCGTAAGATTTTTTGTCAACGTTTTCGGGAAGAAAATTTTAATAACGTCTTTATATCTGATGAAAGTTGTTTTCAGCTTGGTGCAAATCATCTAAAAGTCCTATCAAGAGAAAATAATGTTACCGTTCAAATTTCCCATTAAAATAATGATTTGGGGAGCAATATCTCATCGAGGTGCTACACCTCTCTGTATAGTTAATGGTACTGTTGATAGTGCGAAATATTGTGATATATTAAATGATTTTCTTCTTGAAACGACTCATGTTTTATATCCAGAGAGGTGGCGTTTTCAGCAAGATAATGCAAGACGCCATACTTCTGCTTATACTCAAGCTTGGATGCAAGAACACGAATTGGCAACAATTCCGTGGTCAGCAGCATCTCCAGATCTTAAGCCCTATTGAAAACATATGGAGACTGATGAAGATTGAAGTGGAACGAGCAGTGTCACGAGATAAAAAAAAGTTTGATTCGGTCAGTTTTACAGGCCTGGAACACCATTACCGAAAATTATGGCCTTGACTAGTTTCAGGTATACGTGGACGTTTAGTTAGATGTTTAGAAGTAAATGAGATGAATTATTTGTTGAAATTTTATATTTCAAGTGATAGAAATAAATACCGTAAAATTATAATTGTGCTTTGTTTTTTCCGGATATTTTCTAGACTGATTATACAAGGAAAAGTGGAAGGAAAGAGATGAATTGGTCGAAAGAAATTTTCATGGTTGCGTGTTATTAGGGAATGGTAGTTGAAGTAGAAGAATTAGTAGAAGAATTATTTCGCGCAGCAGCTGATAGAAAACGGTTTCACGAAAATGTAAACATGATGATGTCAACGTCTGAATACGGACATGGTACCTAAAAAAGAATAAGAATCTATTGAACTAGTGAGGATTATATGTTCCTTTCCTAAAGTGCTGATTTCATGGAATTAAATTAGATATCCAATGATCCATCGCTGTTGGTCAATGCGCACAGAGCTATTTGTGTTGACACTAATAACTCTCCTAAACTTTCAACCAAGAAATGCAGACTCTCTAGTGGATTTGCCTGTTTTATAGGCAAATTATGTTTTGTTAAGCTATTTTTTACAATAATTTAACCTTTTGAATGTACTTATAATGATCTCCATTGTCCAATGGAGAAAGTAGGTGATGTTTTGGAGGCGGTAATATTTCAATTTTTAGTGTAAGCACTACATTTGCATGTGATCGAAGTTACTTTTCTTCTTCTCTAGGAATCTATCTGCTCTACACCTGTCGTATTGTAGCCAATTGGTTTATTGTGCTCGAAGTCCCTTTGGAGTAAGACAAAAAAATTCCGTTTTATTCCAGTCACTGTCGTCAGAGACGAAAATACCACTGACTCTGTAAAAATCACTAAAAGAAGCTGAATTTTGCCAAGAATATCAATTTTGGAATCCCATAAAGGTGCAAAAAAATTGCCACTCCTATGTCCGGGCTTCCCCTAAAACCCCCCGTCGTATGGAAGGAAAAACGGAAAACATCGATTTATCAAAAATCTGTAAGCCGTAGAATAAATGTTTTAAACAAGAAATGTAGCTGAGATAATTTAGAACAAAAATGTTTATTAGCAATTTTTCTGTAAAATGAACCGTTCTCCGAGAAACAACGCTTGAAGCAATGGTAAAAGTAAAGAGTGCAGCTTTCGTATGCAATTTTTAAATTTACAGGAAGTCAGTTTCTATACAGCTGTTAAATGTATCAATCTACATTGCGCAATTTTTTTACGATTCTCATTACAGATCAATAAAATTTATTACTTTCATTGGCATGTTCACTATTTCTCTCGTCTAATCCTAATCTACAAAACCTATAGCAAAAAATCTCTGAATTTAAACTTTCACATTACAAACACCTAAATCGAAACTCCTTCTTTTTGATTGCACAAGTAAGTTTTTCGAAACTATAACACAACTTCGGCTACAGGTTCCACTCAATGTCGTCTTCGTGGAAGCATTTCTTGTGACATGAGATTGTTTATAGCACTTTTTTATGGATGTAAAGAAACAATTCTTCATATATTACTTTCTGAAAATCTTCGGACTATTATTAAAGAAAGTGGCGAAATAATATTTCACCGATATTTTCTTTTTCGAATATGCTAAATATATACACCAACTGTATTGGTGGTTTTATATTCCGATATTTCGCTCTAATGTCGTCATAAAATTCTTGACAAATTTATATCGGGGATATTATTATTCTTTATGTTGGTTGCGATGGACGACAATCAATAAAAAAGTTTTTATTCCAATTGTCACCTGTCTTCTGTCATTTCCTTCTAAAAGCCAAACAATAATTTCTGGTTAGGCGCCAAGAAATAGATTCTTTGAGAAAATAAAACTTGTCCGTCTACAATAAAAGGTATGTTTTACGATTTCTTATCAAGAGCCCCATCATCTATTAGTATATTAGATAATAATGCGAGTGTTAACCTTGATATAATTATTAAATTCATGCGGCACGTGTTACACAAAAGCCGGGTTCAATCTCTTTTTTTTTTGTTTCAGAAAAGCAACGACTAATATAAAATGGAAACTATGGAAGTAGCTCCAGCAGCAGTTCTTAACAATCATGTTACCAAGGGAGAGAAAATGGAAGATATACCTGCCGAAGAAATGACCTCCAGAGATTATTACTTCGATTCTTATGCACATTTTGGAATCCACGAGGAAATGTTAAAAGATGAAGTAAGAACGCTTACATATAGAAATTCCATGTATCATAACAAACATTTATTTGCGGGCAAAGTTGTTATGGATATTGGCTGTGGTACAGGTATTCTTAGTATGTTTGCTGCTAAGGCCGGGGCTAAAAAAGTTCTTGCCGTTGAGTGTTCGAATATAGTGGACTATGCTAAACAAATAATCGAAACCAACAAATTAGATCACATCATTACAATTGTCAAGGGCAAAGTAGAAGAAATAACATTACCAGACGGTATTGAGAAAGTAGATATTATAATTTCCGAGTGGATGGGTTACTGTTTGTTTTATGAAAGTATGCTCGATACAGTACTTTTTGCAAGAGACAAGTGGTTGCAGCCTGATGGTCTTCTATTTCCTGATCGATGCTCACTATTTGTTACTGCCATTGAAGACAGACAGTATAAGGATGAAAAAATTAACTGGTGGGATGATGTTTATGGTTTTGATATGAGTTCTATACGCAAAGTAGCTATTAGTGAACCTTTAGTGGATGTGGTGGATCCTAAACAAGTTGTTACTGGACCTGCTTTAATAAAGGAAGTAGATCTGTATACTGTAAAAAAAGAAGATCTGGAATTTACTTCACCTTCATGCTGACAGTTCGAAGAAATGATTATGTGCAAGCTTTAGTTACATATTTCACAGTTGAATTTAGCAAATGCCATAAGCGTATAGGTTTTACCACTGCCCCAGATGCTCCTTACACCCATTGGAAACAAACAGTTTTCTATTTTGAAGACTACATGACGGTTAAGAAGAATGAAGAAATACATGGAATGTTTACAATGAAACCTAACCCCCGTAATAACAGGGATTTAGACTTTGTCATTGAACTACATTTCAAAGGAGAGTTAGGAGAAGTGCACGAAGCCAATAGATATAGAATGCGTTAACATATTTTTCTAGTATAAGTTTTTTATCTGTTACTACTATTGCAATTGTCAAATAACTGCAAGTTGAAATCACTTGATACAGAACCTTTGATGGATCATTTAAATGTAAAAAATGTATAAGTAATGCTTTTTAATATTTGGTTGATTCAGGCCATAGCAGCTAGATGTTTTTATGGCATCTGCCATAATTTCACATACCAGTTTTTTAGCAGTAAGGAGTATATAGGAGATATTAATTTTTATATTGATTATAATACCATAATAAACTTTTACTTGATTAAAAAAGAGTTAAAATTTGGTTTTTTAAATCTAAAACTATCAAAATAAATTAGTAAAAAACAGATGAGGTAGAAAATAACAATATGAGGTAAAATTAGGTAGATAGTTTCAATAATCGAATAAGTAGGTGTAATAGATATAATAATAATAAGTAGGTTTGAGAGTTGTTTTTATTTTATGACAATTCATATTGTTTTAAGGTTTAAAAAAACTATAATTGCTTTAAACTACATAGATATAATTAAGTTTCAACTTCCATCATAAAAAATATGTTTTAAAATCATAGTTTATTTCCAAGATATTAAAAAACAGATGCTATAAAAAAATCAACAACATTCTTACAAGAAACAAGTTTACTGAAAGAGTATTAAAAAGTGTATTCATATATTTTTATTCGTGTGTATTTCTGAATTAGTGGGAGAGATTCTTAGCAACAGATAGTTCTGTAATTAAAAAATGACTTAAAAAGTAATATCACACTATTATTTTATACCAGCAAAACAAGGTAAGACCTTAACTTTCATGAAAATGTAGTGGTATATCTGTGATAGTTTTAATGGTCCTTTAAAGAGATCTCTCTTCCATTTTATATTTGCAGTTTACAGGTGACAAAAGTGATAAAAGATAAATGAACTTATACTTGGTGAGAAAGTTAACTTTACTCTTAAAAAACGCCTAGTCGTTTAATTTTGTATTACGTAACCAAATAGATTAATTCAACTATGAAAACTACCCCAGTTTTGTTTTCTGTAATTCTTTGTATCTCAATGTACAAAAACTGGTTGTTTTAAAAAGTTTCCATTTTATAACTTGAAAACCAACAATTAAGTTATGTTGATGATCTGTGACATTGATTTTTTTATATCTTTTAATTGATAAGTATTTAATCTTTGAGTAAGAGTATTGAATAAACCATGGAATTTTATTACAATTGTATTACTTACCTTATTCCCAGGGGTTGACTAAGATCTAGGCACATACCTTGGTCTTGAAAATTAGGTTTTTAATTTTTTATTTAACAGAAAAATGTAATATTCATAGTTATTGCTGAAATGTATCCAAATTATGCTGAATCGATTGATAAACATTAACAAGTGTGGACTAGCATTGCCATGTTTGTGCATCCACATCCATCTATGTGTGTACATGTACATGTGAAAAAATATGCAAACTGTGCACCTTTACTATAAACTATTTGTTGTCTATAATATCTGATGAATTTATTTATATTATATCTAAATATTTCCAATTTACTATATTGAAAAGTCACAAAGACACATTTGACTCTAATGATTATTGATTCAACACCTGATATTTATTTATTTATCAATGGGCAATCACTCAATTAAAATACAATATAAACATTATTGATAAATTACAGAAGATTCTTAACGTAATCTACTTAAATTTAAAAATTTTAATCATACAAAAAATAATAAAGTTGGAAACAGTAAATAACAAACATTAACAAAGAAACATACAGAAACATAATGACATCAAGCTATCACACACAGTTCTTAAGCTGAGCTTTAGATTCTTTTGGAATACTATAACAATCCGACCTTTGGGAATAATGATTAGCAAACCTTGGTGTTCTATATGTGAATGAATTGAGTCTGTAGTTTGTGTGATGAGGTCTAACATAAAAGAGTTGATTTAGCCTTGTTTGTCTATTGGGAACATGGAGATTAATTTTTTCCAATAGTTGAGGACCAAAAATAATAGAGTGCAGTATACTATAAAACATAGAGAAATTCTTTGTGCATGCATCGGCTTTGGAGGAGAAGTTGTGTTGAGGACCTTTCCATATTTGAATAGTTAATTTCTTCAATCCTCTGGTTTTGTTTTAAATGCAACAAATCTTAAGAATTTTGTGTTGAACTTTCTCAATAGCTTGAATATGGGTGTTATAGTGAGGAGACCAAACACATGAACAGTAATCTAGGTGGGGTCTCACAAGTGAACAACACAAAATTTTTATGAATGGGATATTTAGAAAGTTGAAGTGATTTTGAGACAACATATGAGATATGGGGGATGTAGGATAAGCTGGAATCGAGCAAATTCTGATAGGTTGATGTTTCCTGTTAAAAAAGGTTTCATCCTGCAAATCAAAATCTTTATCACTATAAGTCTTGGAAAAGTATTCAGCAAATAAATTGACAATCTCCATGCCAGAAGAGCCAGAAATATTATTATAGTACATAACAGAAGGAATATTATTCCTGTTCGTTTTACTGTTAATAAATTCCAGAAATTTTATAACATTATCTTTCAGAGAGGATTCAGTTAGAGCAACATACTTAATCAAGATAGCATTGTTGTTTAAGTTAGATCTGAATAAAGAAAACTCATTATAGGCTGCAAGTAATTGAGATTTTAAATTTTAGATATTTTTTATGCATTTTCTTTTTTTTATTATATTTTAAGCTCCAGAGAAAACCACACAGGAAACTTTTTTGCTGAATAATTTTTCAGGGGAACAAAAATATCAATTGCAAGGTAAATAACATCATAAAACATGTTGATAATATCATCAGGACTTTTATCATTAAAACAAATTATCCTAGTTAAATTGTGAAAGAAAGTTTGTATACTTTCTTTCACAATTGTGAAAGCTCATACACTCATTGAGCAAAAGTCTCTATAAAAGCCATCTCCCAATCAATCCTGGCTAATTGAAATATTGGGATTCACATTTAAAACTAAATGAGAGTGGAGGATGATGCCTATCCTCTGGGAGTAGGGTACTCTCAGCTCTAGATACCTCAACCTCTTCATCTTGGACCACAACTAGATCTAATAAGGAGTTGTTTTCATCTTTAAGTGTTTACTTGATACAGGTTATGAAAGGAACATAAAAATGAGAGGAATTGAATGGGATCGACTTCATTTGGTGAGGTTACTGGTAATGGAGTAGCCACAGAAGATGATCCATCAATGGACCACTGACAATTGGGAACATTAAAATCTTCCAGGATACATAACTTATATTCTGGATACTTTTCAGCTAGATTATCTACATTTTCTGCAAATTTGACATACTTCTCAATGATACTATGTGGTGGAAAGTAGGCAGTTGCAAAGATAAACTTGTCGATGTGGCCAATCTCAATCTTGAAAAACAAATGTTCGATATTTTGAGTTGCTGACAAACGAAGACTGTTTAGGACAGCTATAAGCACTCCTCCACCTCTTTTGAAGGTACTTGCTTCTGAGGATCTATCTGTTCTATATATGTTGTAGTCAAACATTTGCAGTTCGGCGCTCTTTATGTCATCTGTTAACCATGTTTCATTAAAAACTAAAATGTATTGTGAGTAAGAAGTATTTTCAAACAGTAGCTGGAGTTTTGTACGTAACCCTCTGACATTCTGAAAATACACCCGCGCTTTTAAAGTCTCCAACCGAGGGGGCTATATCTCACATAGATCAGCTAACTGTCATTATACACTATATTCTTCCAAGTGGTATAAAAGAATGATTTGTGGTATTTCTACCAATAATTTTTCACACTGGTAAAAACTTTGGTTATTTTAGAATTTTTAAGTAATTTAGATTTAGACATCAATAACGGTCAGAGACAGAGTTATAATAATGCGTTTAATATGTCAGGTAAATATAAGAGACTCCAATTCAGAATAACACAACCTATTTTTTCTGTCCGTTTTATACCATGCACTAATCGTTTGTTTACGTCATTTTTTCCTCAAACAAAGATAAAAAAGCGTTAACATATGAAGCTGCCAGTCAACATAAAAAATTGATAAATTTGAGTATGTATTGTCACTATATGGGAAAAGATTTTATACAAAATAAATGCTTCAGACAAGACTCTCCAGCAAAAAGGCGAATCCCTAAATACAACAGTTCTAATATGATTCATTGGTAGATTTCATACAAACTGTCAAGAGATGATTTTAGCAATTTAGGAAAATAAGCAGAAAAAGTTAAAGATATTGCATATCGATGGCTTAATGCTAATACCTGTATATGCAAAAAGTGAAATTTTATAGGAAACAAACAAACCCTTTATTTGTTCAAGATATAGCTTTTGGGTATCTTTTCTACAGTAATGCGAGCTCAGTTTTGGCAACGATTCTAGCCAATTTCTCAACCACTTTCTTTTATCAGTTTTTCATGCATGATCAGATCTTGATCTTGCAGACGTAACTTCTTCTGGGTTATCTGTCATCTGATTCTGATTGTCCTCCTCTGTTGGATCTTGGATTCCGAGCTCCATGATCATTAAGTAAGTTATCAATTAGTGGGTTCATGATGATTTTTACTAAGGATGTCCATTCAGATCTTTAATGTGGTAGTTATCCTGTGGCTTTCCACCTCTCAATGCCATTGACTAGCTCAGGCCAATAAAATGTCCTACCATGTGTCAATTCTTCCACCCGTAGCTGTTGACCAATTAAGTGGGGGATTACTTATATCGGTAATCGTAGCACAAACAATAAAATTGTATTAATTAGTACTTTATTAAATAATATACTCTACATATTAAAATTATATATATCTATTACACTTTTAGAATCATTTGTTTTTGTACCTTAAAGTCGCTTCTGAGTTGGATGAAATTGTGAAGGATTGTTCTATCCAGCTTTACCTGAAAATATAAACAAATATTATTTCAGATATTACACCCAGGATCATTTATCAGTCAGCAGGAGGAAATTGCGTTTATAAAAGAAAACATAGAATTTACCAGTCATACGTCTCCAACAACCATCGCGAAAATCAGTGAATTAAAATACAAAATATTTATCCACCATATTCACCATAAATAGCTATTGATGATATTAAGTTCAACTGTTTATAATTGCTCTGTTCCTAATCATATATTTTTTCATTTCATTTTTCTGTTCCTAATCAAGTATTTTATTAATTATTTCTTTTCATATTTAGTTTTAATTTAACATGTGTTAACACCCTCTGTGGCTCAGTGGTAAGAGCGCCTACCTTTAAACCTAAAGGTCGTGAGTTCGAATCTCATCTGGGTGGAGAAATTTTCGTTTATTAAAAATTAATGAATGAAAATAATTTCTATCCTTGTGCGATCTGTACTCACCGGAGGGACCGCAGACGTTTCGGATACAATTAGCGTCTCTTAGCAAAGACAATGACGTCAACTTTGCTAAGTATCAAGACACTTACTCTACACACACAGACACACACACACACACCACACACACACACACAACACACACACACACACACACACACACACACACACTACACTAGGTACCTGACTGTACCATGCCAATGATCTTAGTTGTCGAGGCATTAACTCAATAAGAAAAAAAATTAACGTGTGTGTATCTTTACGTACGTAACCTATGTCGTGTAAATGCCGCATTAATATTCTTAAGAGATACTTAGAGAGTATTCGGCTTGCACAGCCACACTCAATATTCATATAAATACCATGCGAGAAACACTGATTCTGTGATGTAAAACCTGGAGATTCCACAGCCCCAGCGCTCTGGAGAGAAAAGGAAGTATTCATCCACCATTAAAGATAGCGTACAATGTGATTATTTACATTCTTCTTCTTCATGTGCCTTGTCCGTTCCGAACGTTGGCAATCAACATGGCTATTCTGACTTTGTTTACGGCAGATCTGAATGTTTCAGCGATGACAATCCTAACCATTGCCGCAAGTTTTGGAGCCACGAGTGTCTTCTCCTCCCTGGACCCCTTCTGCTGTCTATTTTCCCTTGAACGATCAGCTGTAGTACTCTATATTTATTATGTCTCATAACGTGACCCAAGTATTCCAACTTTCTTTTCTTATACTTATTCCTACCTCTCTCTCTTTACCTATCCGGCGTTGTACCTCTTCGTTGGTCACGTGCTCAGTCCAGGATATACTTAATATACGTCGGTAAGCCCACATTTCGAAGGCCTCTACTTTTTTCATCAATGTTGCGGTCATTGTCCACGCCTCCATTCCATATAACAAAACCGGGAATACATAACATTTCAGAAGTCGAATTTTGAGAGGTAGGGTGAGGCTTTTAGAGGTGAAAATTTGCTTCATGTTAGTGAACGATGCTCTTGCATATTCTTACTCTTATACGTATTTCCTTCGCTTGATCTCAATTTGAATTAACTGTTGTTCCCAAGTAGTTGTACGAATCCACGTGTTCAATTCTTTCATTGTCTAATACCAGTTGCTGTGGTGGTTGTTGGGTTTTGCTTACTAACATCCATTTGGTTTTTGTGATATTTAGTCTGAGGCCGTATTGTGCACTTGTTTTTTGTATCTTACTCATTAGGCAACTCAGTTCCTCCATGCTACTTGCTAGAATCACAGTGTCATCAGCATACCTTATGTTATTAATTATTTCTCCATTTTATCTTTATGCCTTCTGTGCTTTCCTCCAGCGCATAATACTTCTTCTGAGTATATATTAAAGAGAATAGGAGACAAGATTACAGTCCTGTTGTACCTCTTTCTTGATCTCAATTTTATTGGTCAATGTAGATCCTACTTTCACTTTAGCTGTTTGACCCATCGAGCAAAAAGATAAAAGAGGGAATGTAAAGGTAGTGGGGACAAAATATTGTTAGACAGGAAGTGCTATCTTGAGAGGCCACTTTAAACAAGGAAAGACAGTCTCTTTCCTTGTTTGAGAAGTCAAATTTAGTTTGGTTATGTTATTGTTTGTCCGTTTGCCCCAACTGTCACATGAAATTTTATTTATATTGAAGTTTTTTACCAATTGTGTCACTTTTTAGACTATTTATAGTTAATATTTAATTAAAAACTTTCTCGTCTGAAAAATATTTTGTAGCTATTGTTAATAAGTGTTGGAAAATTTAAATTTAGCGCCTTTGCATTTCCGCATATGTCCGCCATCAGAGGCCACTTTTTTGGTCTCCCTTTCATAACGATTAGATTATCTCTCTTTTATCTTTTTGCTCGATGGTTTGACCCCAATAGAGACTCGCTATTGTTCGAATGTCTCTGCAGTCGACTCCGATCTTATGGAGAACTTCAATTATCTTTTCGTGCTTTACGTTATCGAATGCTTTTGCTTAGTCTATCAAGCATATGTACACGTCTATGTTCATATATCTGCAGCACTGGATGAGTACCTGTAGACTAAAAACTGATTCTCTTGTCCCAAGAGAATTCCGAAACCCAAACTGCGAATCTCCAATGTTATCCTCGCATATTATTATTTACATCGCGATTATTTACATACACAGACAATATTTAAATTAATTGATACATTACAACTATACAATAATTATTACATTCAACTTACTAGAGAATCTTCAGAACACACTTGCTGTAAATTTTCAGGCTTAACGAGCAAAAGATTGCAGAGGGCGTGCAGTGTATCAAAAAGTTCAATAACTAATGGGCCGAGCGCTTTTGTACAATGACGATAATCGTTTAAATCACAGATAGCCACCATCGCACCTAAAATAAAAAAATATTTTTGAATATTTACTCCAGTCGTCAGAGGCGAAAATGCCACTGGACCTCTAAAATAAGTCAAACAAGGTGAATTTTGCGGAGAATATCAATTTTGGGCCCTCAAAAAACAAGCAAAAAAGTTTGTCAATTCTGCCTCCAGGTTTTAACAAGAAATGTAGCTGAAATCGTTTTGAACAGAAACGTTTATTAGCACTTTTTGAGGAGGCAAAGACGACGAAGACTGTTATGTTAGTATGAACATTTTAGATAACATAGATAATAACACGATAATAATACCGCGTACATGCGACATTTACAGAATAGTAAATTTTCAAACACCAAAGAAAGACAGAGTAGTGGAAGAACATGAGATACTACCTGGAATATTCATAGCGAGAGCAATCATTTCAAGAATAATCCGTACATCAAAATGTTGAATACAACCTATGAAACGGCAAAGATAGAGACAACAATCAGAACACTAGACATTAAATTGTTTAGCATATACAGTGTAGGTAAAAGTTTATGGTCGGTATGGTAAAATTTAACAGGATATCTAACGCAGATATAAAATCATATTTTCAGCGAATAGACAAAGATAACAATCATGTTTCCCCTTGGTCTCCCCTCCATAAATATTTTTAACACTCATTGCTCATTCGTGAGACGAACAGTTCCGATCAGAGATATTTTACATATTCTCTTGTTCGATCCTAATATAGCTAAAAAACTAGAGGTGGATCCTCTCGTTTTTTAAATTTTTATCGGAACCGTTTTTCGTAAACTGTAACTAGTTGATTGTTTTACCAGTATTCAAATTAGCGAGTACACAAACATATTGGCTATTATCATTTATGTGTATAAGTATTGAAGTGAAAGAACCTAACGAAGGATATATTTCTTATAACTTGAAAAATAAATTAAACAATACAAATAGTACTTACATTTACATTACACATTATTAAATCGCGAATCGTCTAAATTGACATTTAAAAACAAGTTTTTCCACTTTTTCTGTTAACCGTGTTCTTCTTTTATTTAAAATTAAACCAGATTTTAAACATGTGTTCACAAGGAAAAGATTTTGTTACAATACTACAATATTTTATGAATATGGTGTATTAAGTTAGGATATACATGACGATGGTTTTTCCACCACGGTAATGGACAGTTCCAATCTCCGTTCGAAATTTTTTGTGTGGTAATATAATATCATCAGACAATACATGTCGACTTCTTTTATATCTCTTGATATATGTGTATGTTTAGATGAGTCACGTCCAATTAATTCATCAAAAATACACCATGTACTTAAGTCATCTTTATCAGTTTCTTTTTCTTGTACTGGTTGATTTTCAAGATTTACTAAACTTATGCAAAGACTCGTTTCATCCGTTTTCCATAGGTGAAGAACCAGCTTTTAAAAAAGTTTGCAGGGTGGATTCCTGGATATAAACTGCCAACAAGAAAAACTGTCAGGTTCATTACTTCAGGAATGTTATGTCAAAACTGATTTGATAATAGATAAAATAAAAGTCCTATTTTCGACAATTCTGCAAAAAATACATTTAAAAAAAAGTACCTTATCTTCAGAAAGGCTTTTAAGTATTACATTACAACATAAAACAAAGTTCCCAAACGGCCAATCCAAGACGTGGAAACTAGGTAGAACTTCACCTACTACATGTTAAAAAAAATGACCGAGTTAGAAGAAGGCAATCCGTTCCACATCGGTATTAAATAATACAGATTTAGACTTAGACCAAATCTAAATAAATAACACTGGATTATTTGTTCTCAGCTTTCCCAAATTTTACGGCCGTTTAAAGAAATAACAAGTACAATGAGTGACCAAAAATACTTGAAGGGTAGCTTCAGTAATTGTTATGGTACGCTGCCTGCAAGAATCTTGCAATAAAATTTTAGCAAACGGTAAATTTAGCAATAAGGTTTAGCAAACCTTACATTCATAGTATCCGAGGTAGTACAATTACTAATATCGGGTTTACCAAAAGATTTAAAGGGATAGAACAGCGTGGCACATTGTTATTATGTAAATTTATGGATTCACCATTTAAAGTGCAGGGTTTTTCTGATAAAAATGAAGATAAAAAAATTAAAGAAAAAGTTAAGAAGCTGGTTACTTCTATAATTAACGAACAAGAAGATTGTACTATTGAAAATCAACCAGTACAAGAAAAAGAAACCATAAAGATGACTTAAATCCATGGTGTATTTTTGATCAATTAATTGGAGATGGCTCATCTACACGTACACCTGATTCGAGAGTCAATTACAACGGTAGAAAAACCATCGCCATGTATATCCTAACTTAACCACTATTAGTATTGTAAATGTGAACACATGTTCAAAATCTGGTTTAATTTGAAATAAAAAAATAAGACGGTTAATAAGAAGTAAAGTTGAGAAACTTATGTTTTTTGAATGTCAATTTAGAGACTATTCGCGATTTAATAATAACGTGTAATGTAAATGTAAGTACGAGTTACTATATGTATTGTTTAGTTTATTTTTCAAGTTATATTAAATAAATCATTAGTTTCTTTCACTTCAATAAATATACACATAAACGATAATAGCCATTATGTTTGTTTATGTAGGTACTGTCTTACTTAAAACTACTTTTAAACAATCATAGTTACTTGTTTACAAAAATTTAAATTTTTAAATGCATTCATTTTTTTTATAATCCTGAGAAAACTAACAAATATTTTTTAAAAAATTTAAATGCAGAATAAAAGATTACATTATTACCGAGGGCCGAAAGTCCCTTAGAATAAACAAAAAGGTTTTTGAATGAGATATATGAAATTAAAAATCACACTAATTTTTTTTCACCCCTATAACTTATTAAAATAAACATTATAGAAGTTTTCAGGGACTTTCGGCCTCGGTAATAATGTATTGTTTCATTCTGCCGTTTAAATTTTTCAAAAATATTTATTAGTTTTCTCAGGATTCGCAAAAAATTAATGCATTTAAAAAATATTGGAACGGAATTTTGTGCCTACGCTCTTAACGATAAAACTACCACGACCCACCTCTACTACTCGTTACTCGGTCGGCCAAACCAGACCAGACCAGACCGACGTTGCTAAATAATTAATGTGTATGAATATTTTTTAATGTGGCGTTATTGTATGCAGTTTATTATTTCATATTGAGAATAAGGCACAATGTGACTTTAAAATAAGCTTATTTTGATGTTTAGATTTTTAATTCGGAAATCATACTTAAAATACGAAACATTAATAAATTTTATTTATATAAAACGATTTCCGAAGTGGAAATCAAAATGTTATATTACACTTATTGTAAAGTAAACTTGTGGCATATTCCCAATAAAAAAAAAAAACAGTAAGCTGCCATTTAAATCAATTTCGCCCAAATTGGATTATCTTAGAACATTGTTCAAATGCAAAAAAAAAACAACAGGTTAAATAAATCCAATAAGTTTGGCAACGTTGAACTTCCCTTTTTTATTATTTCCACGCTTCGCATGTTCGGCGATATAAAGGGCGGACCTAATATACCTCTCTCTTTCTAAACATCTGTTTCTCATTCCATCTCACGTAAGGTCCATACCGACCATAAACTTTTTCCTACACTGTATAGACTGATCAATGACAGAAAGGTAGGAAGAAGGAATTACGGGAATCAAATTAGATATCTCAGAATACACACGTGATAAATTGGTATCTTTATGCGAGGAATACTCAGATATATTCGCCCTAAGGCACGTGTTTAAATTGAAATATGGTTGTATAAATTAATCAATACATTTGTCCTCCCCTGTATTCACCAACCCTTTTGATACCGCTCGGGAATACATCTCACTGAGACAAGAGATTGAGTCGCTAAGAAGGACAGACGCAAGCCGCTAGTGCATCGATGCATTCATATTGAATTCGTTTTGTACGTTGGTTTTACCTAAACCTTTAAATTGTTTTTGATTGTTTATTGCAACCATTTAAATTTTGATATTATTTGTTATTTGCATCTATGAGTTAAAGTTCATTTATCTTGCCAGAAACCATCGAAGGAATAGCTGGTATTAATGTAATTATTGTTAATTCGTAATAGTATTTATTTTTTAACCCCCACAGCACGACATGCTAACATGTAACAACTTCTACGAACAAAAACTGAGAGTGAAAGACCAAACCCCAGTATACAACAAGAATTATAGAACACCGCATGCACAAGCAGAAGAGTTAAACCGACAAGAACAGAAATTGAGAGACCAAGGACTAGTAGAACCATCTACATCAGAATATAATAGCCCGGTAATGCTCGTACCGAAAAAAGCATAGATTTTAGACAACTGAACAAGAAGATATTAACAGACAAATTCCCATTACCAAGAATAGACTTAATACTAGATCAACTAGGGAGAGCAAAATGGTTTTCAGTTATACACCTAATGTCAGGTTTTCACCAAATACCATTAGAAAAATCATCAAGGAAATACACATCGTTTAGCACGGAGAACGGAGCATTTCAATTCACCAGATTGACTTTTGGATTAAACGTACGCCCAAATAGCTTTTCAAAAATGATGTCAATAGCTTTTTCAGGATTAACCCCGGACAAAGCATTTCTTTACATTTGACCTATCCAACATTATTATACGTTGTTTCTGAGAGAACGGTTACTATTATACAAAAAGTGCTAGTAAACATTTTTGTTCAAAATCATCTCAGCTAACATTTTTTGTTTCATACATTGTTTCTAGAGCATACAGATTCTTGAATGTTTTCTGACCCCACGCAAGAGGGTTATAGGTGGAACCCGGGGATAGGAGTGGAAAATTTTTTTGCATTTTTTTGGGATCTCAAAAAGGTCTCTTTACAGAAAAATTTGATATCTGATATGTCTATTCTTACCTGCTGTGTTATACTGGAACTGCAACATGTGATCATACACCACTCGGTGTAATCTTATGCCAAGTTCTTGCAATATAGCTGTGACATTATTACCATCCAGGTTTGCTTTAATTTCTTTTACAATACTATTAACGTAATTAATGACGTTTTTACAAGCCTAGAAGGGTGATAAATATATTTAAAAACTTTTAACGGAATATATTATGAATTTTATACAAATAAACGGTGCGGAGTTGTTACAAATTATTATAAGTATTTACAAAATATAGAACAACTTCCACAGTTGTTCATATGTTCATGTAGATACATTCAAATATTGATGCAATAAGTATCTTATTCACATATTATCTTCTAACCTTATTGTTGTGTAATTGTTTTAACCTTAGTGTCGGACAATGGCACTTCCCATCCAGCCTTCATTTATCTCGTCCACTGCTGGACATAGACTTCCCTTAAACTCCTCCATTCTTTGCGCTTTCGTGCTCTTTGTTGCCAATTTTTGATGATACGCATGATGTCGTCAGCCCAACGTGTAGGTGGTCTTGCTCTACTATGTTTGTCTGCTCTTGGCCTCATCTTAGCGCCATCGGGTTCTATTTTGCGCTAAGGCCTTCACCTCATTCCAAGACTTTCCTTGACCTCTTATCTCGTCCATGATGGATCTTCTCCAAGTTTGTACTGGGCGACCTCTTTTTCTTTTTCCTTGGGGATTCCACTCTAGGGCAATCTTTGCAATACTGGAATTATTTTTTCTGAGTGTGTGACCAATCCAACCCCACTTTCTGGACTTTATTTGATGTTCTACCCTTTTTTTGTTCGGTCAGGTGTAGTAAATCTTCGTTTCTGATGATGTTAGGCCAGAAAATACAAACAATTCGTCGTAGACATTTATTATTAAAGACCTGCAGTTTATGTGTAAGGGTTACAGATTGGTGACCCTGCCTTATTCAAGCCGCTGGTTCTACCTCCTTGCTTGCCAGAGGACGCCAGACCGTCATACTCTTTCGTCTCTCATTTTAAAAACTCGACATCTTTATCCTACCCTTTACCACCTGGTACTGACCAGTGCGGTCGTCTTCTTCTAGTGTCAACTCGACTAATGAAGGTTAACTATAACCTTCGGACCTCTTTTTCCTTCAATTTTACCCTTCATAACCAGCTGCAACAAGTCATACTTATCATTCCTAGCGCGGTAGAGTATGGCTAAAATCCAAACATGCTTGATTTGATTCACTACACAATAAAATATTAAGAGCTCACAACGAAACTCGCACTTACAAATTATACATATTTACAATGTTACCTACGGGTGACGCTACTGTGTCGAAGTCGTCAGATTCAGGTTTGAAGTCAGATTTTTTCTGTTCTGTTTGGAGATACAGCTTGACCCAGCTCGAAATGGCATTGAGACACCTAAAATCTATTGGTCAACTTCTGAAAGCAAACACAAAATAATACTACATACCTATCTAGTCCTGTGTTAATCTTCCGTTCTATATCTTCCAGTACAAACTTTTTCTTTTGCACACAATCGTTATTCCTTGGGGTGTTTCTGAATTAAAAGAAAAGAATATCAATAGTAAAAAAGGTTATCATATTAAATTCATGTCAATGTCATATCCTTTTATTTTTATATTAGGCAAAATATTTTATTTTTTTCAATTAGGTACTGTTTCTAATTGCTAATCCCTAGAGAATGGTTAACATCAGCTTTTGTTCCCCTATGAGTAGTAATCGCTGAAATTGTGTAGGAAGGAGAAACATGTGAGAATCAATGAAAAGAAAACAAATACAATGATAATTTCCAAACATAACTCTCCCGTAATAAATATATCGATTAGCGGGCATCCGACTGAGCAGATGAAAATATTCAGATACCTTGGCTGTGTAATCAATAATACACTAGATCCAGATCAAGAGGTAAATCATGCAAATCGCTAGAATTCCGCATAGAATTAGTACAATGAGCTTCGAATATTTCGCCGCATGCTAAAAATTTCATCGATGAACCACCTCAGAAACGAGGAAGTTTTAAGATAAATGAACGAGAACTTTTATGAATAATAAAAAGCAGTGCAGTGGTAAGTATTATCATTACTATAAATATGTATTTTGTTTTGTTCTTTCAATAAATATCTAAACTATTTCTCGCTAGCAACTATTTATTTATCGTATGGCAATTACAACACATTTAGAACAAAATTACAAACACTAGTAATATGACAAACTTTAAATAGTTACAAACAAACATCAAGTGTATTCATATAATCAATTGACTCTAAAGTTCCAAACAGCAAGTCTTCAGGGCTACCATTGTAGGATCTTGAGGGACACTCTTTAATAATGTGGTCGATGGTTTGGTTCTCCCCACAGTCACATTGAGAAGACGGGTTCTTTCTCCATTTATGTAGCGTGTATGCCCATCTGCCATATCTGGTTCGGATCTTATTTAGAGTGGACCATGATTTGCGTGGAAGATCAAAACCTGGTAGCTTGTGGATAATGCAGGGCATGTTATTTCGGCAGGTTTATATTGTTCATGATCTTTTTGTATTCACGTGTAAGTGCGTCAACTCGTCGTAAATGTGGAGGTGGGGTGTGACTTAATACTGGAATCCATTGGGCGGGAGTTAATTTAATTGTACCAGCTATCATCATCATAGTGCTGTGGAGCTGAGTGTCGACCTTTTTACGTGTGGACTGTGTAGCAAACTGCACAATATTCAGTGGTCGAGAAAACAAGAGCTAAGGCAGTAGAGCGGAGAGTGGAAGCCGATGCTCCCCAGGTGGTACCACAGAGCTTCTGTATAATGTTATTTCTTGTACGATCCGTCCCAAACCCTTTTTTCAGTGCGTCATAGTTGATCGAATTCTCTCTAACGCATAAAGCTAGAAGTGACAGAAAAAGACGTGAGTCTGTGATTATTATACATAGAACACAGAAAAATTATGTATCGTTCACGAGTATTTGCATATTAAAGCGAATTCTACTTACGGATGTAGAATTGGTTGGAGTTTAGAATACGCTAAATAGATATCCAATCAATGATGCGCATAAATATAATTTGACGCAGATTATCTTGATCATGACAATACTTTCACAATGTGAACTGATAAAATGATAATTGTCATTCCAGGTTAGTATTTTCAGACATTTTACAGTGAAAATTTAATTTTGTATTGTCATAAAAATATTTTAAATATGCCGAGATATACCGAGAAAGAACAAAGACTACATACCTATTTAAAAAATATCCTTTTCACATTTAGTCGATTACGTTCCTGCAACTGTCAGATTTAACTAAAATGTCAAGCAATAATTTTCGACATTCTTAAAATCCTATATGACGTCACATTTAGTGACGCACTGAAAAAAGGGTTTGGGACGGACCGTACACAACTTTTGGGCAGTTTTTGTTAAATGCTCTTTAAATGCTATAATAGCGTTCTGTTTAGTGTTACGCCCAGGTACTTCGGTGTTTTGTTGTGGGAAAGTGTTGTATTTTTAAATCGTGTGTTGAGTTCCTTTCCAGTAAGTTTATTATTCAGGTGAAAGCAACTAACTTCTGTTTTGGATGCATTTGGTTGAAGTCGCCACTTGCGAAAATATTTGCGCAATATATATGTCTGCCGTCAGAACTTCTTCAGACATTTCTAGTGTTCTGCATCGTGTAGTTAGGGCCCAGTCATCGGCGTATCCGAACTTTCTTGATTGTGTTTCCGGCATATCTGCTAGGTATAAGCTAAATAGTAGTGGAGAGAACACTGACCCCTGTGGTAGGCCATTCGTAAGTTTCTTTGGTGGGCTGATATCTGTGCCCATCACTACTTGAAACATTCGGTCGTTGAGCATGCCATCTATTAGGCGTGCTATTGGTTTACAGGGGATTGCACGGAAAATTTTGATTATAAGGCCCTCTCTCCATACTGTATGGTAAGCTGCCGAGAGATCAATAAATGCCGCTGAAGTTTTAAGTTTTCTTTGGAAACCCGCTTCAATGTAGGTGGTGAGTGACATTACCTGCTCCGAGCAGCTTTGTTCTGGTCGAAAACCCGCTTGTTCGACTGGGATCACCTGGAACAGCTCTGTACTGATTCTATTATATATAAGCCTCTCTAATAGTTTATAGATGGCAGAGAGAAGCGCAATTGGTCTGTAGTTTTTTAGGTTGTCGGCGGGTTTGCCTGGCTTTAGTATGGCTATTATCTTAGAGCGCTTTAGTTCTTGTGGAATATTTCCAGTTTCCATGATGTCTGTGAAAAATCGAGCCAGCCAAACTTTTGTATACTTGCCACAATTTATTAGGAATTCAGGGTGAATATTATCAAATCTTGGTGCTTTTGCTGGCTTAACGTCTTCTCCTAAGAGCCTCTGATATGTCTTCACTGGTGAAGAGGAGGGAATGCTCCGTTTCTGTGGCTACATGGTTTAATATTATAAGTTCTCTCTTTACGTAGATGCTCGTCATTGTCATAGCAACATGAAGCGTGAACAAGAAAGAGCTCAAGATGAACGATTCTTATCAAACACAATTCTTCTCAGAGCTATTTCTGACGATAATCTCTAATCAGCTAGATGAAACCAATATATGCAAGTACCTTAAGACTCGATAGTTGTGAGCAAAATTGTTTACTGCGACAATCACAAATTGATTAAACTACGAAAGGCTACAAGTTGACACAGTTAGCATAGTTGGCAAATACCAGGCCTGATTTACCCCAACAAAAATCAACAATTGATCAGATACATTCAATAAGACAGATCCTAGAGAAAACAATTGGATTTAACATTGAAACCCATCACCTATTTGTCGACTTCAAGGCCGCATACGACAGTTTCAAGAGAACAGTACTATATCAATCAATGCGTGAGTTTGGTATACCAGAAAAATTGATTCGATATGAACGAAAATAACAATGTCTAACTTAAAAGCCAGCTTTAGGATACAGGGAGAAAATTCTCGATCCTTTGAGATAAAGATATCTAAAAATAAAATAATAGAATTAAAATTTTTGGAAATAAAAATTAATAATCGAAGTAACTGAAAAACGATAAAAAGAAATTGTTTTCAAAAGAAAAATAATAATTTAAATTATGAACACTACATCACATACCTAAAAACATTACGATACGATTACATAGCTATTTCTATACGCCAAAAATAGCTGCAATTCGTGAACAAATTGGATTCCCAAGAAATACTATAAAAATGATATCATTATTGCTAATTTTAAATATTTACACATATATTGACAAATTTTACTTAAAAACTTACTCAACTAGTGGAACCAATAAATCCATAAACTGTTTCTCAACAAGATGTATAATATTATTACTGTGGTGGACGACACTAAAAAAATATAGCGCTGGGGGAGTTTTGGTCCCTTCTACAACAGGCACAGCTTGTAAGCCCAATTCTACTGCATAGTCGACATGCTCCACCAATAAGCTGTTTATCAATCGATCCAAAATTTGAGTTGCGTTTGAGGCCCTTTCTGTGGGTTTGGATAACTGTAAAAATATTCGACAATGAGTTATGAGAAAGCTAATGAGAATTAGTTGGTGATTTTAACGTAGATTTGTTGGCTAGTAATTTCTATGGGGAAAAATGAAAAAATTGTGTTTAGAAGAAGATAAATTGAATTTTAAAATCAAGAAACAATTGTACAAGTAAATAAAAGGTGCAAATAAATAGTTTATATAAATCGAACCGCGCATTTTAAATTCCGTTAAAATCTTGCAATATAATTTAAAAAACTTACCAACTGACATCTTTGAAAAGCGTGTTTTGTATCTTGTAATATCGTAATAGCTAATTCTTCCGATAAAAAAGTTTCCCCACCATAATTTTCGATCTGTGCAATGTTAATGTTTGCTCGAGTTCCTATGACAGCTTGAAGATCTCTTCGAAGATCTTGAAAACTGCAAATGCAAACAGAAATTTGGTAAAATACTTTATTTTCTAGCAAATTAAAATTATCTGAATATTAGTTTAATAAAATAAGCTTTTTTGATTACTGAAAATGAAAAGTGGATGATTAGTCCCATTTAAATGTTTCGACAAAAAGTCTCTGACCATGTGTACTATGATACTATGACATGATACTATGAACTAAAGATAAACCCACGCGCACGCGATCAGTCGTGTGACGTCACTTGGCGACAAATGTCACCAGAAATGTTCTGTGTTATATGGAGTTTTGTCAGATTTAGTATTGTTTTATCGTTTATCTTGTACGTTGACATCGGTTTACTGGGTAAACCATCTTTCCGAAGGAGGTTTACTTAAACCATATCCAGATTTTCTAATTAAATGTAATGAACTGGACCATATTTTTAACAATTTTAACAAAGGGTCGTTAAGAATTAATCAAGAATTATTTAAAATCGCTAATGGATTTAGCTCTGTTCAGATGTAATGTTAGTAAACGTAAGTTCAGATCTCAAACATCTTTTTTTTTAGGTGTAAATTATATTTTAAAATTAGAAAATTGAATAGATATATTAAAGAAACATCCAAAGTTAAGAAGAAGAAAATATTAAAAATTGTAAAATAAATTGTTAAATGAACTTGTAAATTATTACAGTGTACTCTATTTTATCAGTTGTATTAAATTTTTATTTTAATAAATCAATCCATTGTATATAAATTTCCATTTCCAAAAGCATGTTTAGTTCCTACTCTTTTATATAATTTTATTATCTATTTAAATTTTTGCGACTGTGATGATAAAAGGTTACGTCATGCGCGTCGACGTACAAAATTCGATTGCGAAGTGGGTTTATCTTGGAAGTCTTAGTATCATGATACTATGATAAGAAGATAAGATATTGCGCATAAGTCGTGACGTCATTGGAGAGTTACACGTTCGAAATGTCAGTTTTTTGTATGTGTCAATAAATAATCTTTAATAAATAGTTTGGAGATATCCTTATGTGTACGATTATTGTAATTATTGAACCTCTTAACTTATTTTCGTCTAGTAATTTCATCACAGAATGCATACAAATCCCATTTAACTTTAACAAGAATTCAAATTCTACTCTCTAATGACGGCATGCGCGAACACGATTGATTTTGTGCTACGGGAATTTACATCGTAGTGGATATTTAGATGTCATACATTTGGTTTTTTTGCTGATATTAGTGTTAATCTTTGGAGCTCATCTTCTGTCTCGGCGATTAATGCGGCGTCGTCTGCATAACATAATATTTGGATTTCTTTGTTCCCCATTCTGTAACCATGACCTTTACGTACTGTTTGTATTATTTCATCCATTATTATATTAAAGAGAAGTGGGCTTAACGAGTCACCCTGTCTGAATCCGCTTTGTCCTGATATACATTGTGACAGTTTTCCATTTATCTTTGCCTGTATTCGATTATGGAAGTAGATGTTTTCGATGGTTTGTATAATATTGATTGGTATGTTTCTTTTATACAGTAGGTGTAAAACGTCTTCGACTGGATGCAATCGAAAACCTTTGTCAGGTCTATAAAACATAGATATGCTGGTTTATTATACTCGATGGCCTTTTCTGTAATTTGCCTTAGTACAAATACGGCGTCTACGCAGTATCTTCAGGATCTGAATCCTTGTTCATCTGATAAAGCTGTTAGATTATTGATTTTTTTCTTGATGATTGACTTTAAATCCATTCGGTAAAATATGTGCACTGTAGATTTGTACTTCCAAACTGTAAAAAATATACTTACCCCCCTGACTGAATCTGCTTCTTCTGATGACCTTTAGATTCATAATATTTTTGTAAATTTGCGGAGCACCTATCTTTCAGACCTTTTAGTTCCATCCTAAAAATTTTGCTTCGTTAGTATTTTTAAATGAAATTTAAAATTACATACTTACGTGATATAATCATTAATGTATTTGTTAAAAATATTTGTTGTTAACTTCGATAAAAAGTTCTTGTCATTTCCCATGTTAAATATGCTCAAATCATTGGATAACTGATTAGTCCTTAAATAAAATAATGTAATTAAATTAACAGTATGTACACAATCAGAACGAATATATATATATATATATATATATATATATATATATATATAATATATATATATATATATATATATATATATATATATATATATATATATCGGAAAAGGAGTACGACCGTCAATCCAATATATTATAAGGATCATTCAGACGAGTGGTGGGTTCTTATATCGGTCTCAAGGTGGAGAAAATAAAAGACAAAGGTGATAGGCCACTTTATCTATTTTGAAGACGTTTCGCTTTCGTATTCTGAAAGCATCATCAGTTCATCTAAAAAGTACAATATGAGAACCACACAATCATGGAAAAGATGTTATAAGTGTTACCTTAAAAAAACATGTAGCAGTCAATGATATTAACAAGTTTGTGAGTTGAGTTTTTATTCCACAAACTTTTTAATATCATTGACTGCTACATGTCTTTTTAAGGTAACACTTATAACATCTTTTCCATCATGGTGTGGTTCTCATATTGTATTTTTTAGATGAACTGATGATGCTTTCAGAATACGAAAGCGAAACGTCTTTAAAATAGATAAAGTAGCCTATCAACATTGTCTTTTATTTCTCCACCACTCGTCCGAGTGATCCTTATAAATATATATATATATATATATTATATATATATATATATATATATAATATATATATATATATATATATATATATATATATATGCCGCTCACAAAACATGAAAATGAGAAGCATAAATTTGACTTAGAAAACATCAACATTTTAAATACCGAACAAAATCAAAAAGAAGAGGGAGATATACGAATCAATAGAAATAAAAAGAAATACAAACGCAATCAATGACAAAAAAGATACAGAACCTAAATAAAATATATTTCAATCTGATTTAAATAATAATAAATAGAACTCCACAAAAACTCTTAAAATCATAATTTTAAGAGTTACTTTATCACTTTACTCCACTTTACCTTTTTCTAAAACACCAACAATACGCCCATATAAAAATAATTGTATACTAATGACAGTAAACCATAAGATATCAGATATCAATTTTATTTCAGTCAATTCATTAATGGCAGTGTTCAGTTTTACGTTTTGGTAAGTTTTTTTATATATTTTACAATAACTTTTTGTTCTTGTACATTTAGAATCTTGACAAAGGCAAGGGTTTCCTGCCGAAACGTTGATTTCAATGGACAATAACATCTAGTTAAACGCGGAGTTAAACTTGATACGATTTTCGGGTAATACTGGTTATAACTTTTTAAATACCGGTATAACATAATCAAAACTTTACATTGTTGTGATGTGGAAATGAAGCAAATCCCAAATTTAAAATAAAATACAGGATGTTCCGTTTAAAAAAACATAAGTTTGGTCTGCCACCATCTTATGGAACACTCTGTAAGGTTGTAACTAATTTTAAAATGTGGAGTTTAAAGCTGCCTACAATTTTTATATTCAATAACTTTTACTATAACAGATCTACTGAACTTCCTCTGGGAAGAGGAAGGGATGATAGGAAGGTTAATTCCATTTTACTCGATCAGTACTGTGTTGAAAAAGACATTGAGGTATGTGGGCTGAAGTGGCATTATAATTCAAATCAACACACAATTTTAGTTTGCTACAGATCTCCTAAAGGTAAATTTGATGTATTTTATGAAAAACTTAACCTTATTTTAAATTCAAATTTTAAACCAAATCAATTCATATTTTTAACAGGCATTTTTAATGTAAATTCCATGACACTAAATAATTCACACAGATTTTCTGGTCTTCTAGCATCTTATGGTTTGTCACCCAGGAACTTTACACCTACAAGGTCGACTTCCACATGCGGAAATATTTTGGATCAGGTATATACAAATTGTGATGATTGTGTAGGTACTGTAAATGTAAATACTGAATCGGATCACGATATATTCCTTTTAAGATTGAATTTTATTAATCTAACTATGACAACAGTTCGAAATACTTTCAGAGTAACACATGAAGGCGCTATAGATGCATTCAACAATCTCTTGAGTAAAGAAACATGGCAAGATGTTTATCATGCAACTGATGTTGAGAGTAAATATAATGCCTTTCATGATAAATTACAGTTCTATTTCAATATTAGTTGTCCTATTAGAGAAACCAAACATTACCAAAACAAAAAAAATACATGGGTCACCCAAGAAGTAAAATCTTCTTCAGATAATCTGAAGGATTTGTATATATTGAGTAAGGCTTACCCTGAGCTAAAAACTCTACATAGACAAAAAGAATATCAGCACAAAGTTTTTGTTGAGGCCACAAAGGGTCAATTTTATTTTAAATCTCTAAATCCTCTAACAAAACCAAAACCACATGGGCTGTTATAAATGAACTTAATGGAAAACAAAAAAATCACAAAAATATCTGTCTAAAAATAGATGATACTAGAATTACAGATTCAGATATAATATCAAACAAATTTAATGATTACTTTATAGATGCACCAGTGGATATAATTAGTAAAATAATTAAACCAAATTTAAATTTTCAGCATTCCAATGATTTTGTTCAAAGTAGTTTGTTCCTATCTTATGTAACAGAGGAAGATGTCTTAGATATAATAAAATATAAAATTAAAAACAAAGCATCGTGTGGTTTTGATGAAATATCAGGTATAGTAATTAAGAAAATTGCGTCTCAAATTTTGACACCACTGACTCACATTATAAATGCTTCTTTCAATACTGGTGTTTTTCCCAATATGCTGAAAACTTCTATCATTTCACCGGTATTAAAACAAGGTGATCCTGAATTAATGTCAAATTTTCGACCATTGTCTGTTCCATCTGTGATATCTAAGATTATTGAATATGCAATGCTAAAACAACTTTTATTATTTTTAGATATCAACCAAATTATCACAAAGCATCAACATGGATTTCGAAATAAATTTTCTACTTCCACAGCCATTAACAGTTTTTATGAGGAAGTCTTACTCTCAATTGAGAACAGTGAAAATCCAACTGCCATTTTTTGTGATCTCAGTCGTGCATTTGATTGTGTGCAACACGATGTGCTCCTCGATAGATTGTATAGATATGGTGTTAGGGGAGTTGCCCATAGTTGGTTTGTTTCCTATCTGAAAGACCGGCACCAAATAGTTAAAGTGAAAATAACTTCAAGATTTCAATGTCTAATCCGATTATTAATAAGAATGGAGTACCACAGGGCTCAATATTGGGCCCTATATTATTTATTTTGTATATTAATGAGCTACCACATGTAATGCCTGATGCATTTGTATCAGTTTATGCGGATGACTCAACAATGCTATATCGCGATAAAGAAATAAATTTTTTACAAGATAAAATAGCAAACTCTCTGAAGACCTTCTCTGATTGGTCCAGTAATCAGTCGCTAATGTTCAATGTTCACAAAACTAAATTTTTATCATTTACATCACGTTCAAATTCAACTAAACCTGATTTAAGTATTTCCATTAATTGTGAGGATATTTTGAGGATATGTGCATTAATGGTGAGGATATTTTGAGTTGTAGTGATAGTGATGTGAAGTTTTTAGGAGTGACTTTCGACTCTCATTTATCTTTTAAGACTCATTGTTGGAATGTATGTAAAAAACTCAATTCTAAATGTTATCAATTGAGAAATTTGGGTAGAATACTTAGTCTGCAACACCTTCGTCTTTTTTTATTTTGCTGAGGTACAATCGACAATAAGTTACGGTATAACTGTGTGGGGTGGTTCTTCTAGTGTAAAGGACGTTTTCAATGCCCAAAAGCGTATTGTCAGATGTATAGCAGGTGTTCCGTATGGTTAGTCTTGTAAAAACCTATTTAGAGATTTGAATATATTAACAGTGTATGAAATTTACATTTTGGAATTATTGATACTAATTCATAAAAATAAAGAACTTTTTTATGTAACATGAATATTCACTCACACAACACAAGAAATAAGAGACAGTTTGTAGTACCCTATCGACATTTAGAAATAAGCAGGAAGTCATCTACTATCTGTGGTTTACTACTGTATAATCAACTTCCTCAAAAATTAAAAAACATTAATTCAATTACAGCTTTTAAAAACCAAGTCAAAGAGTACCTAGTGACCATGTGTACTTATACATTAGGTGAATATTACGAGGGTGTATCTGTGAATGCCTAAGCTGCAACATAACCAAATTTATTAATATTTTAATTATATGTCTATAATGTACGTTTTTTTAAGTATTTTAATGTTTTAAATATTTATTATTGTTTCCATTTTTTGTAATATTTAATATTTCTAATTTTAGTTTTGACTTGCTGTAAACCTAGTTGTAACTTACAGTCAAATAAACTATCTATCTATCCTCACACTAATCAGTCACCCCGTATAGTTATAGTATAGTAGTCAAGACACAACTGAATAGACGGGTTTGAAATTTGTAGTGATTAGTATGAGATACTACAAAAAGACTCTCATCTGAGGATTCATCAATTTTTTAGTAAAACTATCTTTAAATAAACAATCTAAACGTCAAACTCATTATTTTGCTAATAACTTAAAAACATGTCTATTTTGCGATTTGACGTCAACAGGCAACTTCTTCAGAAAAAAAATCGATTATTATACAAAGCTGGAATATTTAGGCCACATTACCAGAGGTGCGAAATATGAGATATTAAGGCTCACAATGCAAGGTAAAATCAAGGGCATACCATACATACAAGACCATAGCAAGACGAAGAATTTCCTGGCTGAGAAACCTAAGAGAGTGGTATAATTGCAGCTCAGTAGATCTTTTTAGAGCAGCCGCCAATAAGTTACGGATAGCTGTGATGATAGCCAACCTCCGATAGAAGAAGGAACTACAAGAAGAAGAAGAAACAAAAAAGTTATTGCAAAATTTTGTTTAACAACATTTGTTTAAATGTATCTGAATTGAAGGGTCTTATCGTGTTTGAATTATGTACAAAAGATGGGCCAAAATGATCTAAATAGAAGTTTTTAAGTTACGAGCAAAATAATGAGTTTGATGTTTTTATTGTTTATTTAAAAATACTTCCACTAAAAAATTGATGAATGATAAATCCCTAGATGAGAGTCTTTTTGAACTACCAGGCACTGGACTGTAAAAAATAGGAGAGGTATAAGTTTAGGAAAGTCGAGGCCAACTACGGCATAGTACCATTGATGATCTAACTTACTTGTAATATAACTCATATAATACTTGTAAATAGCTGTAGGTTCCTAACTTGGAATTTAACCTTTGATCGATGTATTCCACGAGTTTGAGTTGAAATATGTTCAATACAAATTTTGCCATCACTTGTTCTGGATTATTAAAAACCTTGACAATTATTTCATGATTGTATTTACAAAGCGTTAAAAAGTTAGAAAATACGTCCTTGCTCGATAGACATCCCTACAAAATAACAATATTTTAGTTAATAAAATTTAATGATACTCAATAAAAATTTATTTAAAGTAAATTACACAAAATTAAAATACCTCTTTATTAAATATAAGTAATTACATTCATTTATTATAAATTAAGAAAAGGCAAGGTGTTAAGTGCGGTTATGGTAAAGTATCCCCACCTTTTCAAATTCGAACATTTAATTTCGATTTATTTATATACATAGTAGTGAGATGGTAAGACGGGGTAAGCACGCGTGTTCGAATTGATTTAAAAACAATGTTTTAATGCAAACTACTTATCATATAAGACTGAGCTTCACGCTAGCGGCGTGGTCACAAATTAGAGGATAGTGGACGGCCTTTATATATGCAGGTTAGTTGTGAATATATCGAATAAGAAAGCAGTTGCTGACTAAGCAACATGAAGGATGTTTTGGGTATACTTAGGAAAGCATACTTTAAAACATACTAAAATATCCTACAGAAGTACTAGCTAGACTCAATTTAGAAGAAGAAAAAGAACTATTGAGAACAGTCAAAAGAAGAAAAACCAGTTATTTAGGGCATTTGTTGCGCAACGAGAAATACTACATCCCTCAGTTGATAATAAAAGGCAAAATAGAAGGAAAGCGAGGAATTGGAAGAAAAAAATTGTCCTGGTTACGTAATATCAGAAACTGGACAGGACTTGGATTTGAGGAACTCTTAAGAGCAGCTGAAGATAGACAAACGTTTGCCACCATAACCGCTAACCTCCATTGATGGAGACGGCACTTGAAGAAGAAGAAAATATCCTACGGTAAGTATTGTGACACAACGAGTATTGCCGCCATTAAATAAGCATAGCCTACCCACCATAGAGAGCAATTTGCTGTAGTTATAGCCAACCTTCAGTAATGGAGAAGGCACCTTAAGAAGAAGACCCACCAACACCCAAGGCGATTGTATACGTGGACGTCACCTCACCACACTCAAGAAAAAGTAATCAGAAACCAAATAGATTACATAATGGTATCAAAAAGATACCGTAATGCCGTGAAATCTACTAAAACTTATCCTGGAGCTGATATCGGTTCGGATCATAATCCAGTAGTATCTGTGATAGAAGCTAGACCAAAGAAAATAAGAAAAACCATCATCCCAGCGTTAGACTTAAGCCAGCTTAAAAGTGAACACCTACGACAGTGCAAGAAGAAATAAACACAAACCTTAATATAGCAGAAAGTCAAATCCGCAGAACAGACAACATAGATGAAAAACTTAAGTATATAAACATTACAATAAGAACTACGGGAAAGAAACACCTAACCAGATCTGCAAAGAAACACAAGGTATGGATGACATCAGACATACTAGAACTAATGGATGAAAGACGTAAAATGAAGAATAATGAACAAAAATACAGAGAGGTTGATAAGAACATAAAGCAAAGAATAAAGAAGGCCAAAGAATTATGGATTGAAGAACAATGTGTAGAAATGGAAAACTATGAAAGAAAATATGACACATTCAATATACATAAAAAAGTAAAAGAAATTACAGAAACTCAAAGAAGACATCAAATAAGTTTGCTTAAGAACAAAGATGGAAAGATTATTATAGATTTAACAAAGAAAATTAATAGATGGATTGGCAATCTCTGATAGGAGTGGCACAAGAAGAAGAAGACCCACTAACCTCATAAATGAACAATATATCGTCAGTGTAATTCGCATAGTGCGTAACTCCATTTTATAAAATTTTACAGGAGAGCGAAACAACTAATTTAAATGATTAAACTTGTTACCGATTGACAAGAAATTAGTTTTTACGACTACTAGTCAACTCAGATAGAATTTGAAGTGTTCTAGTTTTGGTTTTTAGATGAAATATTGTATTTGTTTTAAATAAAATTGGAGATACGCTTTTTGCGAACTAATATTTTGAAAGTAAAATGAAAATACGCATTTTTCTGAAAAAAGTTTATTTATTTTTTTAATGAAAAAATAAAAAAACAGTAACATAAAGATTACACATCGGTAATTGTAACAGAAAAATGAATGCTTAAAATAAATTTAAAATTAAAAAATATAAAATGAAATAAGCACAAGGCTAATTATGAGGTAACTAATCATAAAATAAAGGGTAGTCCTGTTGTATACTTTTCTTCAGTTGTTGCAAATGCTCATATTTTTCTTTCTTAATGGGAATTCTACCTCCGTATAATGCAGACAAAGTCAAAATTTTGGATTTGCAGGTTTTCTGAAAGAAAAAATTTTTCCATTCCAATTCAGAATGTCTAATTTTGTAAAATATATTTTTGTTTTGTTTGTTTGTAAATTTCTCGAATAAAGAGTGTATTTAAAAACATCTTTTTGCATAATTGTATTCGATTATGTTCAGTCTAGGCTTGTCAGAAATAGAACCACATTTCAATTTTGTCTTGTGGTCCCTATTTAACTTGCAATTGCAACAAGGTTTCATAGTTTTTGCCTATTTTCCTATATTGTAATTCCATGAATCATTTTCTCTTTTTCTTCTCTGATACTTACGCTCATTTTCTCTATTCTTGTAGTTCCCGTGTTTGATCCATTTGTTTTTGTATGTTTTACTCCAATTTAGACCTTGAACGCTTCGTTGATTCTTTTGGATTCAGTGTACTGTTGTTCAGATCGTTTTATTTACATCCGTAATTACTCATAAATTCTTTAAAACCACTACCTATCTCTTCTTCCATCTCTGCTTCCATGATTATGAAGTCTGGGTCTTTGGACGTTTCATTGTCTTGGCAGTTCCTTTTTTGCATGCACGGGATGCCTTCTTCTGATCTTTTTGTGCCATTAGTGACCGTGTTTGTAATATTAAAATCACCCAAATTCATTATGATGTACGGTTTTTCCTCACAAACATGATTGATAAGCATTTCTTCGGTTTCTCTAGCATATTTCTCGAGATCATCAATAATTGGACTGTTATTTACCTGCATACTGTTTGTTTGCACAGCAATAACATTGTCGATGGTATTTTGTTTCATGGATGAAGCAAGAGCAAGAGTAAAGTTGTCTAAATCAGTCTCTTTAACTTGAAAATGGTCCTGTTTTTCAGTGTCGTCTAACTTTGACGGCACTCATAGAAAGTTTATAATTATGTCTGCTCTTTTAGCCATTTCTGTAACAAAAATAAACTTACTTTTACTTTGACTTTTTTAATTTTACTTTTTACTAATATGAAAAAAAAAAGAAACTAACTTTACACAGAATTTTTTTTATTTAACTATATTTCAACGAAAATCATTCCATACTAAATACGGAAGCGTTCAAATATAAATAAATTTGAAAGAGAACAATTACTGACTTTTAAAATAGGTATGAATATTATTAAACGCTAAATAGGTACAAATAAAAATTAAAATTGTTTAATAACAGTAAAAAATAGTGGTATTCATTGTGGAAATATTCGTATCTCCGTCTTGTGTTATCTTTTCAGTTTGGCGTATAGTGCGTATCTACAAGCGTAAATAAATACTGATTTATATTAGTCATTCTTAAACTTTTTCGATTATTGCATAAATATTAATAAAAAATAGACTTGCCTTTCTTATGGTATATGAAACAACACGCAGAGTTTAAGCACAAATTGAAGATTTTTACGATAAAGTTCAAGAACAACTACTTACTTGCGTCAACCAATACAAATGGCGGGAGATAAGCATTCTGCTTGCCAACAATTTGATGCATGGAGTTAGGCAATTTTCTGTGAATTATTTTATTGAGAAACGGTAAACGCTGCGGAGGTGGGTATTTTTCAGGCTAAAGATATGGTATCATTGTACCAGATTTCACAAAAAGTCATGTTAAAAAAAAAGTATGCGAATTATACTAACGATATGAAGTATATAAGTATAAGTAATCACCCATTTGTTAGTCAGCAGCTATAGGTGGATGAACCGACACATAGTTGGATACTTCATTGACCTAGAACTGAAGTATGAACGTAAACTGATCTCTCTCAAAGTTTCTTCGCTCAATAATTCAAGAATTACATGACTTAAAGAATTTTGAAACTCATTCATAACTTAATATATTACTGACATTCTGGGATGTATTTACGAAGTCGCAACTGCGTGGGAGCATGTAAAGTCTTCAAGAATTGTGAAGTCATGGAAAAAAACTGTCACTTAACATTGAAAATTGTGAAGAATAAGCAGTTGGAGAAGATGAAAATGAACTGTCTGATCTTAAAAGTTTAGTGAACTCAGTTCCTGAGGTGAGAGAATGTGGACTTGCACCAACCTGGGATTTGAGCATCTAACGGACAAAGGGATCCCAAGAACATGCAGAGAAGAAAACGAAGAGAAAGTGACAGTGAATGAACTTCTAGACTACCTAAAGGAACAGGATGACGCCCTACATGCTGAAAAAAAAAGAAGTAGATACAAGTGACAGACAACTTTCAAAAAGTGTAAAAAATGTAACATCAAATATTTTAAGTACATTAAAATTTAGTGTTATAGATTAATCTATGAAGCAAATACCAATCCAGACCTAGTTAAACTACCACATTATATCATACAAAATTGTGAAACGCAAACTAAATATTTAACTTTATCAATACTGAATAATTAACTATAATAATGGATTGATACTACTAATCATCACTTCTGTGTGTTACATTTTATTAGATATTTCGTACATACCATTTGGCTGTGATCAATATAAGCATCTACACACTGAGAATATCCTTTAAACTGAGATAAAACAGTAGCTATTTCTTTCATTCTATTTAAATTTTCATTATCCATAGCTAGAACAAATTCTTCTATTAAAGATTTTTCTATATCTGAGTATTTTCTTTCAATTTTTCTCTTAGCAACATCAAATCTGAAACAAGGTAATATTTAATTTAAATTTGTAAATGTGAATTACTGATAAATGTAAAGATATTGGAACATAAATGGATTTCAATTTTCTATATTTTGAGCAGTTGAATAATTTTTACTTTCAATCCATTTAATTGACCAGTTTTTTGTAGAGTTCTTATCTTCATTTTATAATTGTTCTAGTTGATCATTCATCTTGGACTCTGTCCTGTACCACTCCAACATCGCAAGTTTTTCAATGGTATTTTGGAATCGTGATCTTTGTGATATGTTGGATACTTGGTTTTTGGATAACATTTGTTTTGAACATATTCTCATACACTTATACCCAGCATCAAAGTCCCTGCTCCATCAGTTCTTATATTGATTATATACCTTTTGCTTAGGACATTTGAGAATAAGACCTTTATTATATAGCCTCTCCTGTCTACGATGCCAAACCAGACCTATTAATCTTTATATTGAGTTTAATTACCTATAGTGCTCTTCCTGGCAATTTTATTCTTACGCATATTTTTAGCAAAATTATAAATTTTGCTTAGGACACTTGAGAATAAGACCTTGATTATATAGCTTTTCCTGTTTATGATGCCAAACCAGACCTATTAATCTTTATATTGAGTCTAATTGCCTATAGCAATCTTCCTGGCAATTTTATTCTTACCCATATTTTTAGCAAAATTATAAAATCATGCAATTTGTTGTTCAACTTGCCTGTGATAAATATGAATATCATTAATATTTGACACACAAAAGCTTGGTGAAGACTTTCAAAGATTTCGGTATTGGAAGAATTGTGAGATCTGGTTAGTGTAAAAACATTGAAAATTCTAACTTTAAAACCATACTTACTTAGGAGGTAAATCTTGAGATATAAGGTATAATTTTTGGATCACATCAGCAGCATCATCTATCTAAAAATATTTATTTATGAGAATGAACCTATTTAAAATAGACTTTGTTTAATTTAGCTGTGATGGCTTATAGTATGAACAACATCTAATAGACAATCTCACTTACCAATTCTGGTCTTGTAAAAATAGGTGATAATACTGTTTCTTCAGATAAGAACTCTGTTAAATGTATCATTAACTTTAAAGCATCTACTACTCTAGATCTTGGACCATTAACACTGTCCAACTGGTCACCTAAATGTAGTACTTTTGTTGCTACATGATTGATTTTACCATCTAACTCTTGAAAAGTGTCCATGGCTTGCTAAAATATAAATCTATTATGATAATAAATACTTCAAACATATAACAAATACTGCCATATGAGATATATGCCTACAACTTGAAACCAAATTATTTAGGACACCTGGTAATGTAAACTTTTGCCAGGTTTAGTTGTTGGGACAAAAAAAAAACAAATACAAAACCAGACAGGCACTGGTAATACCCAATAGTAAATAGAGACTAAAAGACTCATTAACTTTGAAATGTCGTGTTATAGAAGAATGTGGAAAATATCTTGGACAAGACACATAACAAATGCTGAAATGCTACGAAGAATGAAAAAAGATAAAGAAATACTCAACACTATAAAGAAAAGAAAAATGAGGTACTTTGGTCACATACTAAGAAACAAGAAACACAAATTGATGCAACTGGTCATACAAAGAAAGATGGAAGGCACAAGAGGACCAGGGAAGAGATGCACATCCTGGTTGAAGAATCTGAGACAATGAAGGGGGAAAATAGACGCTACAGATAGAGTCAAATGGGCCATGATGATCACCAATGTCCTTAGGGATGGGGCATGTTAAGAAGAAGAAAATATAGACTTCGAGAGAATAGCATACCTCCACCTCTTAACAATTACTAAAAACCCTAGGAACTCTATGGGCAGACTAGATCATGCAACAATGTCCCAAAGGTATTCAAGATAGCAGAACACATATATCATTATAATAATTAAATAGAGTAGGTTCAAGTAGATCTGATCATCAATAAACTAGAACAAGCATTAAATGAGCCGTTTTAGCCTGCTCAAACAAATGAAATTTGGAGAATTGAATATAAAAAAACAGCCTTTCGAAAATCTATAGTTCTGATAATTACCTTATTTTGTTCAAGTAAATTATATATCTCCTGAAAAAAGGTCGCTTCATCTTCTCTAACCACAACTTCTAGTTTTTCACATTTCTTTTGTTGCCGTTCATGAAGTAAATTAAGATCTCTAAAACATAACAAAAGTTCACACATTTAAAATAATGTTCTTAATATGTTTAATTAAAAAATTATAAAACAATACAAGACTAAAAATATACCATGTAAGTAACTGTCTTAAAACGAAATCAAAAAATTGAATACGTGCATCCAATTCTTTTGGATGTTTTAATTTTTAGGACCCATTCAAGTAGTGCTTTAACTGATAATACATTCAGTGATTCTTCATATAAACAAAAATAAACAATTCAATATTATTATTCTGCAAGTTTTGTTTCTAGACACTTAACTGACAAATAGTTCATATACCCACTTTATAGCTTGTACAAAAGACTCGTGTAAAAGAGCAGGATTAATCTCATGTTCCTCCCCATCGCCTTTAGATTCAGCTAAAGTTCTCCAAGCTAAACGTTCTACAAATTCTTCAGCATCAAATGGTTCCTTAAAAGTGATGGGTTAATGAGATTCACAAATTTATTCACTTAGATATTTACCTGCTCTAATTCTTTCATATATTGTTGCATCATTTTGAATAATTATTTTGTTAGTAACTTAAATTTAGTAAAACAATTAATATTGTAGGCGTTTTATGTTGACATCATTTACTAGTTTTTAGTTTTAATTTATAATTTTTGGTTATGTTTTGACGTTTACTGTTTATTAGGTAATGTGTGTTGTCTAGATTAGATATTCACCTCTTTAATTTTTCCCCTAATTATATAAGGTTTGTTCCAACCATGAATCACAGACAAGTTTCTGACAGTTTGTGGATTGTTCCCCACTGCGCATGTCATCAAATATCTGACTTCCTGATTGATTAGTGATAGTAGTTGGAAACAACCGACAATTTGTCAATTGTCTGTTATTTGTTGTCATCATCCATCCTCTCATTTCTGCTTTTATTTTGTGATTGAGCGACTGACTGTTTACATACATTTTACCAAACGACTCAGTGTCAGTAATTTTTACAGATTTAAATAAATACCCAATATATACCCAAATGATATAATCACGTTATCACTTTAAGTAAAACTCAAATAAAATATTTATATTGGTAAACAAACTTAACCTAAGCGCTTCGGCGTTCCCGACTAGGGTTGGGTTCATAGAACAATTTGTAAACAGTAAACAGAACCGTTCCGTTGACAATTGACAAACCAATCGACTATTAAACGGTACTCCACGCAACGCCTCAAATTTCTTGTCCAAAGAAAATCCGCAAAACTGTTTTGACTTCAGCAAACAAGTTGTTGGTGTGGTTGGAACAGAAAACTATTTGCTGTTGACTGTGTGTAATTCGGTTGGAACGCTTTTATGTTATTGCGCAGAATCCTGACGTCTGCACTTGTTTCTGACTCTGGTTGAAGGTATAAACTAATTGCATATATATCCAGTCGTTATGAGCAAAGAATATACGCTTAAGCGTCTATATTCTTTGTTTAGAGATTAGACCTCTAAAAATCATACGAACAAGACGACTTTTGATGAGAATGTCAAGATTCGTCAAATTGATCGATTTATCAAAAATCTGTACGCTGTAGAAAAAAATGTTTCAAATAAAAAAATTTAGCTGATATAATGTTGAATAAAAATATATTTTATTAGCACTTTTTGTGAAGAATCAACTGTTCTCTCAGAAATAATGGTTGAAGCAACCGGTGATTTTAAATGTGAGTTACAAGCGTGAAATCAATTTGAAATAAAATTTATAACAACTCGACGGTAAAAATTGATCTTTTGAACAGAATGTCCTATCGGAAAAAATCGAAATATGTACTTTTAAAAGCTGAAAAGTGCAGCTTTCGTACGCAATTTTTGTATTTTGTTGCAAATGAAGTCGGTTTTTATAAAGGTGGTAAATAAATAAACGTTCCGCTATTTTTTGCCATTTTTGTATCACTTTCATTGACCAGTCGTAATGGAATTTCCATTGTTAGAGCCTAATCTTCAAAACTTATAACATGAAATTTTGATTTTGACTCTGAATGTGTTAGCATTCTAGGGAAAATTTCCCGTTCTTGTTAGGGAAAAGAGACATCTCTTTAGGGTTAGGGAAAAGAGAAACACCAACCGGACGAACAACACAGATTTATTACTATTTTGACACATTTTTACACATATTTATTACATTTTGTACATACTAGTAATTAGTATGTACACATACTAATTACTATTTTATAGGTAAATAAGCCGCATTAAAGGTTAAAATAAGTTTATTGACGTTTGAATCTTTGATCTTGAACTGATAACTTGTTTTATACTCCAACAATTAATAGAAAAAAGAATATGCGGTTGGTACTAGCCTTCATTCGACCTAGAAAAGGCGTATGATACAGTTCGAAGACTTAAATTGTGGCAAGCTTTACAACAACTCGGCATTAGTCCATACCTTCTAGGAATATTATACAATATATAATAATAAATTAACTTTTCAGGTACAGGAAGCAGAAACGAATACTCTTGAAATGAAAAGACATTTTAGTACAAATAATATTGAAACCTTTATAAGTAAATTACATAATCATGACTGGCTTAATTTAAGTTACAAATATGTAAATGATCAATGGAATACTTTCTTAAACCAGTTTCTGTATATATTTCAATAAGTGCTTTCTTTTTAAAAAGTTAGATTCTAGGCAACGTAAAAAAAGGCCTTAATAAAAGAGATGATCCAGAGATAATAGAATGTAAGACTCGTTTAGACATCTTGTTTACAATAGAAGAGTTAACCATAAATTCTATGATTCATACAGACAGGTAAAAATAGAATATAATAAGAAACTAATAACAAAACGATCAAAGCTATATGAAAACAGGATGTCTGAAGCTGCCAACAAAAATAAATGCATGTGGCAAATTGTTAGTGAAATTAATGGTCAATTAAAAAGTGTAAATTCAATAAAAGTAGAGGATAGTCCTCAAGAGATTGCTGATAAAATACATGATCCACTCAAATACTTTCTTTAAATAACACTTTATCTCAATTACAATACACTGAATAATAAAAGACAAACATTGCAAGTACACATAAATTCGGTGTTTGTCACACCTGTGACAGAAACTGAATTATGGATATAACTAAAAATTTTAAAAACAAAATGAGTTGTGGAATTGATTGAAAGACCCATTAAAATCCTTAACTTTGTATAAAGTAGATAGTGAATCCTCTACACTACAATAATAATTAATTCACTCAAAATCTGGTGTACTTCCTGAATGCCTAAAAACTGCCATAGTAACACCTGTTTACAAAAAGGGTGATCCTAAATTAATTAATAACTATAGACCAATTAGCCTTCTGTGTTCCTTTTCAAAAATCTTAGAAATGACTATTGTATAGGCGGATAACAGAATTTTTAAACAAAATGTCATATTATTAGTGCAAATCAGCAATGGTTATCAACAGGGAAAATCAACTCAGACCTGCGATTTTTCAATTTGTCTGGGATATTTGAAACGTACTTGAGATTGGTCATATGGCTTTGGGTCTCTTTTTGGACCTATCAAAGGCATATGACTGTTTAGTGCATGACATATTATTTGATAAATTGGAGAAAATATGGTATTACGTGGACCAGCATTAGAACTGGTTAAGTCCTACTTGGCAAGTAGGGATCTTCTCATGGTCTATGTGGCTTAATACTACTTCCAGCATAACAATATTATGCAGAATGATAACCAATACGATTTTAGTCAGTGGTAAAGACATGTCTGTTCTAAGCGTTAATGCTGGTTTAGAGTTCCAGAAATGCTAAAGACTGGTTTTCTATGAATAGGTTGGTTTTAAATCAAAATAAAACAGATCTTCTTTTGTTTTAAGACAAATTATGCACATTCTGATATGCCAAACAGTATTATTGTAAATAATGACACTTTAAATATTAGCAGCAGTACCAAATTTTTAGGATTATATATCGACAGTTTTTTATGTTGGGATAAACCATGTTGACCAGTTATGTATGTCTTTGAGTAAAGTGATTTACAGCTTTAGAGTTCTAAAAAAATACATGAATAGTAACTCATTAAAAACATGTTATCATGCTAATTTTGAAGCAAAATTTAGATATGGTCATAACAAATGTTGGCCACAGTAGGGACATAAATAATGTATTTCTGGTTCAGAAAAAAATAATCAGAGTTATGTTTGACTTAAAAAGTAGGGAATCATGTAGAGTGGCATTTTAGGAGTAATAATATTTTAACAGTTTACGCTGTATTTATTCAAGAATGCTTACTGTTTCTGTATAAAAATAAAATACTCTTTAGGAACTGTGAGCCCATAGTACCTACATAAATACCAGGTTATATAATTATAAAATTCAAATACACAGGTTAAGTATAACAGAAAAAACGCTCTTTATTGCTGCATCAAATTGTTTAATAAACTGCCTAAACCTATTAAAAGGGAGGAAAGATTAAGTTTGTATAAACATCAAATAATTTTATGTAATAATTTTATGTTCACGGGAATGATTATATTTGTCTAAAAATAAAGATATTTGTTGTTATGTTATGAATAATCACAGAAGTATACAGGTATACAGGACTACTTACCGGAAATAGACTAGCAGAGCCAATAAAAATAACCAAAGGACCAAGACAAGGATGCAGTATGTCACTCTTACTGTTCAATTTATATATTGAGGCAGCCCTCCAAATTGGAAAAAACTACTGCCAGCGAATGGGAATCCCCATATTAAATGACGTACTGTTCTCACTGAATTTTGCGGATGACCAAGTCGTCCCTATCTCAAGATTCTTATGATCTAGAATTTATGATAAAGCGTCTATACAGAGAATATTATATAAAATAGGCGTTACAAGTCAGCATGAAGAAAACATTAGATATCAATTCAGATGCAAGGTTTGAAGTGCTGATAGATGAGGACGTGGAAATCAAAAAAGGAAAAATTTTGAATATTTAGGTGCACTCATTGATAAGAACGGCTTGGGAGAAACCGAAATTAAACACCGAATTAATCAGGGACGTAAAATTGTAGCTCAAGGCTGGAAAGGAAGACCAACGAATCTCTAAGAAATAACATGAATGCTACAGAAACGGTCATTGACATGAAGAGGTTTAAAATGGTTTGGACACCTATTGAGAATGCCTGACGAACGTTGACCCCAAAAACTTCACAGATGGACGCCTCCTGGAAAAAGAGGTAGACCTCGACGCTCTTAGAATGAAGGAATTAGAAGAGCGATGGAATCGAGAGAATTGGAGGAGGAGCATGCCTTGGGCCGGGAGAATTGGCGAAGGAGAAATGGGAATACGGCGATAGCTGTCATCCAAAATTTATTGTATTTACAAGTTGGACTAATACGTCAACAATCAAACTTATTTTAACCTTAAATTGTGGCTTATTCCCATTAAAATTAAACTAAAACACAAATTTTTAGGGACTCAAAATGGAGGTAGCATAAAAAAATTTCGAACCCCCCCTCAGGCCTGCAGTATTATACATAATTTTTTGTGTAGGTCATTTCTTTTCTGTAAACTCTTACTTACCATACTTTAGTTATCGTTAACCAATTATCCTGCATCTGCTCATTGTTTTTATTTATGTGAGTGTTTGTAATCCTATATAAAAAAACTTGTTG